GATGAGAGATGTTTTTTGATTACAGCTCTTTCTGTTTTAAAAACTTAAATAGTATGACAGAAATGGTTTGTAGTTTCCCTGTTACTCTCTCTGGGGTAATATGAATAAATGACAGTAAATAAAATATTCTCAACCAAATGTAAAATTTTGTAAACATACAATGAAAATATTTTGCTGTATGGACACATAGAAACAATTTCATAATTGAAATTAACTGTTAATTAATAGATATCTTAGATGCAGTTATTTTAGTGCAGCATTCTTTTGTGCATTTTTACTGGTGCCCTACTTTTATGAAGCTCAGGAGCAGTCACATGAATATATTCTTGGATTTTCATCCAATATTGTTGCTAAGGAAACATCATCTTTAATACTGTATCCTTGTCTGCAGCTTGTCTGTATTAATCAATGCCTGTTAACGCTCAACACAAACCAAGTAAAGATGAAAAAAAAAAAGCTTAATTTCTTTTATAATAAGTAGTTTATTATTGACTATTGTCCTTCAGGATCCCCTGCCACTGCAAACCTCACACAGATTGAAGGGTCTTGTCCATGGCTCTGATCTCATCCCAAACAGACATAGCATGCACAATTTTTATATTTTTTTTCCCAGAGGCTGCCATTAATATTTAATATAATAATGTGTCATAGGTATTGTACAGTGCATGGATCTGGTCAAAATGGTAAAAAATTCTTACATATTGCTCTAAAAGGAAGAAAGAACCTTTTCTGTATGAATTAAAAAGAGGAGCTTGAATGCACCAAAGTGAGAAATATATCCCTTTTCAGTATACTGTTAAAACTCCAACTGTATTGTCAGCCCAATTTGAATATCTATCTAGGAAAAGACCTGTCATTCAGACATATCAGTGGAAATCTCAGTTCACTACAAGTCCAGCTATTTGGATTTGTTTCAAAAGTGACAGGCAGGTTTTTTGAATTTTCTGCTTCTGAATTCTTTCAAGAAGTACCAAATTTTATAGCCAATTTCAAAATTAATTTGGCTTAGCAGTTTATTAGCCCAATACCTGCTTTGTTTCATGATAATGTTTGCCATTTGGACATGTTGTTACATATCTGCCTCTTCAGAGACACTACATTAGATCTAACATCTGTTACTGAGAAGCCCAGGACAGAAAGGCCAGAGGCAAACAAGAAGGCCTGAAGATCTAGCTAGCTTCATTAGGAATGTATTTTTCCTTTTTTGGACAAGCAGCAATATCTCATTTATCAGCTTAGTCATCCTTCAAGGAAGAGGAAAGAAATCAGGCACCAGTTTACTCTCTAACTGTGTGGGCTAGATGCAAGCACAGTTTCAGCAGTGTAACCTGGATAGGTCATACCAGCTCTCATTACCAGGGCAGTAAAGGGAACACAAGTCCTTTCCTCCTGAGTGCATAACTTCTCATGCCACTAAGTAATCTCCTCCTTCTCCCTAGGAGAAAAAAATGTAAGAAAATATTCGTGATAGAGTCAGAGTACTAAAGTCCACAGATCCCACAGTAACAGACTGGAAAGTTGCCTTAGGAGCTGAGCCACACTCAAACTTTTCTGCTTGACCTCAGGAACTGACTGGATGGATGGTAAGCAGCTACTTCAGATACCATCCCAATAGTTGTAAGCTGTTAACACCTCGTTAGAGGTGTGCTGAAGATCTTACCTGAGATATCCAGAGACAACTCCAACTCATTGTTTGATCCTGTTAACTGCATCATGCCCATGAGTTAGTGTAGTCCGTGTATAGCAAGTGTTTATGGTTATCCATTTCTGGGCACCCATTCTAGTTATATTTTTTCTCTCTACACTATGAAGTGCATTGTTCAGGACTGTTTTAATAACGAAAATTCCCAAATATGTGAGTTTTATCGATACTTCTCCTCTAGAGGTTAGACGAAGATACTGTATTCTCACATTATTTGCTATCCTTATAGGGATTGCTTAATCACTCTTAGTCTAATGAAAGAATTGAGAAAAGTCACCATATTGCCTAAAACTGGAATGTAATCCTTGAGTTTTGATCAAGACCCAAACTTTTCAGTCTGTAATCACGTCCCATGGGATTAATAATAGCCAAGACTTGAATATTAAGGAAAAGCATTGTCTTATCATTCATGACTCATATGGAAAATCATGTAAATAAGTGTGGCAGTTACTTTCTCACTGTTGGTAATAGAAATAACAATCCCTTCACTCTTTCCATGCTTCTCTTTTCCATCTGTTCTGATAGCCTGTGAGATAAAATACTTGCAAGTAGTACTTTAACCTATCCTTCACTCTTTGGTCTGTAGGAAATGGTGAGGAAAGGTTTTCAGGTAAGATTTCTTCAGCCACTGCAAACAGCTCTTCTTCCCTTCATATCGGCATTTTTTAAAAAAAGCTTGCTGTTTCACATAGTATTTATTGTACATTTATTTTCTTCTACTGTCTAGAAAAGTTATTAGAAATTTATAATAGAGACTGAAGTGGTAGAAGAAGTTGGTAATTCTAGTGTTGTCTGTTGAGATTAAAATACAGGCTTTGGATCTTAATTTCTGCTGTATTATCCCAGGTCAAGTTAGAATTTGAGCTCAGTTGTCTAAGCCAGTATTTTGCATCATGATGTAGAAATAACTAATACTATGATATTGCTATTAGATATTATTTGCCATTTATTAAATAGAAGGAGAGGAAACATTCTCTATATTCACTTCATATTCTTCAAATGAAATTAGTAGGCACACTTGGGCTAGGACAATGTTTTCCTGTCCCTTGGAAATACCTTTGCTGTTGTCCCTTCCATCTCTGATGCATTGCGTTTCTTGCTTCTGGTCTTTAGTTAAAAACATGATAAGCTAATTTTTGGTTGCTGTGAAGTGTTTTCTAATGGTGTGGTGTGGGGTTCCTTTTGGATGTGTGTGTACCCAGGGTAGTGCCTGAGTGTTTTTCAAAGTTGCAGTTGTGGGGTGGTTTTCTCTTGTCTAAAAATGCACAGTGCATTAATAGCACAGCTAAGTACAGGATTGAAGAGATCATGAATCAGATGTGAGACTGCTGTCTTTTTTCTTTTTTCCTCTTAGCTTCTGTCTCTCTTTCTTTCTTTTTTTTTTTTTTTGCCTTGCTTATTCTTTCCACTTCCTTTCTCAAATTTCTTTATTGTCCATGTGGTCTAATATCTTTCTTTCTGTGCTGCCATTGTAAAAATTAGATCATTTTGGATGAAGCATTTTCTTCCCCTCCAGATGCTTTTCTTCTGTCCCCATGAGTACACCATCTGCCCTTGTGTTCTCTGGGAGATGTGCAGGTGTTGATCTGCAGGTGGCAGAACTGAAGTGAAATGTGATAAGTTTTGCCTGCCAGCTCATTCCTGCTTTATTTTTTTAATTGCAAAGTTGCTCTGCTAAATAAAGAAGAAAGGAAAAACTAGAGAAACAACTACGCGATGTTGGGGAAATGTTGATTGCTTGATCCTGGTCCTGAGCATAATGTGGAGTAACAAAGGGCTAAAATTCCCATTAAATAATCAAAAGGTTCAGAGACTTTTTACCTTTCTAACTTTGAAGTTAAAAGTTCTTCTTAGAGTTGTGCATGTGGAATTTGTCAAATAGTATCAACCAACTGAACAGAAAAAATACAGAAGTGTATTACATACAATAGTATGACTTTGTAAAATATTAAGCATCTTCTAATGTGTTTTTTTCTGGCTCTTTTTATATATAGAAAATGTATGCAACTTTTGAGTTAGGTATTTTTTTTCTGGTAATTTCCTGGTTAGCTTTAACCTTGCTATTTCTTCTGTGTTTATGGATTCCCCTTGTCTCCACCCTTTCAACTTCCTTTATCGAAATCTGTGTTCAGGTGTAAGATGATCTTACCTTTGCAAATGGCTCAACCTTTCTCCTTTCCAAGTGATTTTGAGAAAATAAATACATTTACTATGTGTTGATAGTGGTTCTGTTCACCGGTTTCTCAAGGTCGTTCATTACCCTGTGAGCCATTAGGCTAGGAAATTTTTTAGCCAAATGAAACAGCCAACTTCGGAAATTTTGTTTTCGTGATTTACATGTGGTATTTCAAATCATTTTGGACTGCTGTACTTAGTCTGTGTAGAATGTCATCAAGTAGCTTGTTTGGGTTTCTATTAGAATATATTCTTACTTTTCTGTATTAGGAAATCTGACTCTTCAGACCTCATGTCCTCCTGTGCTTGCAAAAACAAAATGAAGAACTATCTTGCTGACTAGCATGCTTTCTAGCTTGGTCCCAGATTTGGCAAAACAGTTCTGATGATCCTCAAGTGGTCTTTGAAAATACAAAGCTTCTTATAGCTTTGAAACACAAACTGTAAGAAAATTCTCTGCGATGTTAGAAATGTGGAAAGTAACTAGTTATTCAAAACCAACTATTCCCAATTGTTCTACATTAAGATTAAGACATTTAGGATAATGTTCATTAGTCTTCAGTGTAATCATCTGAAGTGTAGTCATTGCATCTAATCTAAACTAGTCATGATTTGCCTTGCTATACAATCAGAGGAGAGGCAGCTTTAGAAGGCTATTCAGTCCTCTAATAAAAAGGGCATAAAATACTATGTGGAATGAAATACTTTTGGAGATGCATTAATGCATACTCCATTGATGATAGATATGTGGATAGTAAGCAGTAAGTTCTGTTGCCCATTGTTTGTGGTTTTAAATGTTAAAAAAGAGAAAGAAAGGGAAAGTAAGTGTGCATGAAAATCTGACCTAATATAATAAATACTTTTGAAACAGAGGATTAATGGCTACTTTGTAATTAGTTTGAATTTAGAAGATCTGAAGGTTTAAATTCAAGAAAGGTGGTGGTATGTACTATATTAAGGGAATTTTACAGCTGCTGTGGAATCTGTGATACTAATGGACTTATTAATATTTACTACCAATGAGAAAATATTGTAAAATAATTTTTAAGGGAAAATATTAATGCAACTAACTAGGTAAATATAAATACTGCATGCAAAAATATTTTATATCTTTTTTTGGCAGCCTTGCTTTGCATCCTGAACGTGTGTTGGTGGCAACAGGTCAAGTTGGAAAAGAACCGTACATCTGCGTGTGGGATTCATACACTGTGCAAACTGTATCTGTTCTGAAAGACGTTCACACACATGGTATAGCTTGCTTGGCTTTTGATTTAGATGGTCAGGTATGTGATTAATATTCTATTTTCAAACACTTGACTAAATTTTTTATCTGTTAGAAATCTTGTCGTGTAGTTTTTCGTAAAAAAAGGAAGTGGATTGTCTTAAGTTGATATGCTTATTCTCAAGTTGAGGAATATAAAATTACATTACTAATTGATGACAAATACTCACATTTGACAAGAAAAGTGTAACTTCAAAAGAGTTTTAAATGAATGTAGGGTGGTAGGGAGGTTCTTGTGGTCTGTGGACAACAGCTCAGGGTTAGACCAAATGGTTGAAGATAGTGGACCCCCTATGCAGGGGCATGTCATATGCACAGAGTGATAGCAATACCATTGTATCTTGGACTCTAAATATCTTCAGGCAGTATCCCCTTCTCTGCACACACTGGTGGCTCTCCACATTTTGGTTTCTGTTCAGACTCATTTGTCCTGGATCTAAGAGTAAAGAAAAATCTTTTACTGGATTATAATTTTGTTACTTTAGAACATTTTCTGAGTAGTGAATTGGTTCTCAGTTCTGCTACCTATAATGGAGAATGTTTTTACCAGATCCAGAGGCTTTCTTGATGGACGTATTAGAAACGGAAAATACACATTAGGTAGCAGCTGAAGAGGTATTAACTGTGAAAATCCTTTCTGCAGTTGTACTTTCCTGTCTATGAAACACTTTCCCTCCCACTCAGCCTTGCAATGCAGTACTCAGATTTAGCTGTATTCTCAGTTCCTTTTGCTTGCTAAAAAGGTCAGTATCTGTTAGCAAGTGAGGATGTGTCGTAGAGACCAGTTTTTATTCCTTATTAAGAGAATGGAACTCTATTGAACACAGACAGAGGAAAGCCTACTGATAATTTGTTTCTGTTAAAACATGCTGTAATTGTTGTAGGGAATTTTCAAGCTTGTTGGAATGATCTACAGATTTTATCATTTAGGTTTCTCATTGTTTAGAAAGTCAGTTTCTAGATTCAGCTGCTTCTTAGAACATCATTCCTACTTCACTGTGATATCTTCTCTCGTCTGTGTAAACTCCTCACTTGAACGGCCGTAATAATATAAGGTCAAGATGTATCAAATTAGGATTGAAGTCCCCTAAATTTTTTTGAATGCAGTTAGACATCCCCTGTATTGGAGAGTTATGAATTTAGATCTGTGATTTGTTCTAGGAGTACACAGTACTGATTCTTGTGTCTAAAGTCATAAATGGCCAGAATTTAGTCTGTCTGCTTTGTTCAGCATTTCCATATGATCACCTTTTTGTTGCATTTGTTAGAATTTTGCGGTCTTCAAGGAAAGCTGGATACAGATTTTTCACAACCTGCATCTCCAGAATTGTCTCCCTAAAATCCAGTTCAGAAAGATCTGCAAAACATCTGTTTATATCTTGCCTGTCCTTAAAAATTCAAATTTGTCAATCCTTAACTGGGTTGTTTGAGAGGTTTAATGTTTGATATTAAATATACTTATTTGACATTATTTGGGATTTTGATTTAGCAGAGTGATACAGCAACATACTAAAGTCACAACACAAGTGATTGCAATATGGATCACAAGAAAAACATGGTTCCTATTACTCATCTCTATAGGATTATTGTCATGATGCTGGGACATCTCCAGTCACTGGGAAGGGATATGTGGATTGAAGTGAGCTCAAGCCCTCTTCAAAGTTTATTTTATTAATTGTTCATTTTTTATATTTCATATTGGGCTGTGCCACAGACATGTTCTTCTCACCCTCACTGGTCTAGCACAGGAGGACATTATTTATTCTTTCTTGTTCTTTGTTAATCAGGGAAACCTGATGATTCACTGGTGCTGCTGTGTTATCTAAACCCAAGGTTACCCTTTAGTCTCACTGATGTTGAGAGTACAACTCACTTTATGATACTTTATTCTCCAAGTTTGCTGGTTTTTTTGCTCTTCTCTGAGCTCTACTCGAGTGTGGGTGTGCTCGTTAGAAACAAGATTTTCTAGGTTTTAGGAGAACCAAGAACATCGTCTAATCTCCCTTTTCAAGAAGTCAGTGCCTGGAAAGGCTTCACCCACATTTTTGTGATAGGCATGCAGTAATTGTAAAACTAGTCTGTATTTATACACCTCATCCTGGTCTACAGTTGAACTATTTGAAATCACAGCTGGAATTGAAACTGATGTTCCTTCTGACAATGTTTTCCAAGATGGAATAGAAAGGTCAGACTTTGCAGTATCAATAAATAAGAAGCATGGATACAAATTGTATTTAACTTGTTTATTTTTCTTCTCATAATCTTGATTTTTTTTCAGACAGTAAAGAAATGTCATTATTGGGAATAGGTTCCTGTCTTTGGGGTTTGCTTTTACTTTTACAAACTCTCTTTGATAATCTACATAGAATTTGAAATTAAATTTGTCTTTCATGTGAGTAGATATTAACTGCTGAACAGTGAAAAAACTTTGTCTTAAAGATTTGCAAAACTTTAGTTTATCAACGTCGAGTTGTTGATATCACAGTATCACAGTTCATGCATAAACTGAACAAAAATACTCAGTTTTCTTTAAAACCAAACTCAAAAGCACTTAGTTTCTTTTTATTCAATCCTATTAGTCTCTTGATTGAGAATTTCTATAGGAAAAATAACATTTTGACTGGTTAACAGATATAATAAAAGTGTTGGCTAATATAGTCAATGATTTGTGTCAAGAAATCTGTTCAAGGTGTCTTCACAGTGAAGACAAGACAGGCTGCAGAGCATAGGAAGATCTCAAACTTTTATTTTTCTATATTTTCTTGGAACAATATTTTTGTCCTTCCTGGTTTTACAGTTTAACTGGTTTCAAACTCTTCCTGAGTATTGAATACTTCATGAAATTGTATGTTTGGGGTCTTGTTGAATTCTGTTTTGAGAAAAGATTCAGAAATGGTTACCTATACATGTCTTGAAGAATCAAGCAAAAGACTTTTAAAGCTTTTAACTGTTTATAATATTTTGTTTGTTTCCAAGAAGATTGAAGAAAATATTTTTTCTTTGTATCTCTTAAACTTATAAATCCTTAAATTCTGCAAGTTATAGGCAATTAAACATATATAGATTCATTAACTTCAGTGATTATTCCTTTTTTAACAAGTGTCTCCTGACTGCTCCTTGCCATGTGTGCTATATATAATTATGTATATTAAACATTATAAATCAGAAATACATTGTTATCTAAGAAGATCTTTATGATCATGATGTTGTAAGTGAAAAGATGCATCTGTGGAAGCTTTTGCTCAAGATGTAGCTTATGTTTTCTTCTATATCAAAATATAGGTATTACTTCTAACTTCAATATGTTAGGAAGTTTTTATCATTCTTTCAAAAACATAATGTCTATCTTTCATTAATATATTGAGTTATTTTTTTTGTTTACTTTGGACATTTTTTAGCGTTTGGTCTCAGTTGGTTTGGATTCAAAAAATACAGTTTGTGTATGGGACTGGAGAAAAGGAAAATTGTTATCAATGGCTCCTGGTCATACAGACAGAGTAAGTATAACTAAAGGATCTGAGTGCCAATGTAATGTTAATTTGTTAAACCACGTCTGTGTACAATTACTAGAGCTATGTCTGAACAAAAATCATTTTCTATTTTAGAAATTGAATTTACATAAAGTTTGGATATGTATTAAGATGTGTGAAGATATTTAAGATATGTGCATTTATTTCTAAAATAAAATGTGTAACTCAGCATTTGTTTGTGTATGGTTTGTTGAGACTGTAAGCATGTAGGGGAGGTGCAGAATTAATACACTTCCTAGACCCTAAGTCCCATATGGGAAATCAAAATGCAAATAATTGCTTAAATTTTATAGTTTGTAAATGAACCCTAATGTTGTTTTATCATGTGTTTTAATTATTCTAGGGGAAAAAAAAAGAGAAATCACACAAGTTATACATTGCAATTTCAGTACTGAAAGAGAGGATAAAAAAGTCATTCCAATAGATCCATTTAAAGCATTTCAGACTCTCTGTTAATTTGCTATAAGGTTTTACTGTTTTAACTCTCCCATGCTAGAAAGGCCATGTCTGCTCACATCCTTGGTATTTTTTTATGCAGATATTTGATATTTCTTGGGATTTATACCAGCCAAACAAGCTTGTCAGCTGTGGTGTAAAACACATCAAGGTAATGAAATGTTAATTTATAAAATACTTAAGCTGCAGTAGTATATACTCTATAAAATATATAAAAATTGGATCTAAAAGGAATATATGATGAAAATATGGAAAGTCCTCTGTATGAACAATATTACTTTTTAAAAATGACAATTATGGATCACACCTGACTACATTAGACATTTTATGATATTTACATAGTGGAAAACAGACCTTCCCTGCTCAAAGGAGTTTGTGCCCTGACAGAAGGAAAGCAGTAGAAATGAAACAGTTGTCCATAGCACTGTATGTCATGATTGTAATATAATTTAAAATTTACGTTGTCTGAAACAATCCCTAGTAGCATAAGACAGGATGCACATGTTTAAGCTGAGTCCAGGTACTCAAGTTTCTGATTCTTGAACAGTGAATGAATTATTGCACTACAGAGGGGAGATGAGTTGAAAAACCTTTTCTTACCATTTGAGAGAGTATGGAGAGTAAGTGGAAAAGAAAGGAAAATTCTTGATCTTTCTTTTAATTCTTTTCCTAGCTGTTACTTGTACCTTTAATCATTTGGGGCACTCTGTACCTGTTACAGGATTCATAATTTGGACAGTTCATGTCTTTTTCAAGCATGGTTTGTTTGATCCATGTACCAAGTACTGTGCAGAAAAATCTTTTTCAAATTTAACTCTGTAAGCAGGTTTACCAATGCTTGACTACCATGAAATATGGTTCCTATAAAAAGTCCCTGCTCTCTTCCAAGCAATGTCTTCTATTTTACAACATTACAGCCGTAGATGACAGCTTGAAAGTTCTGTATTGCTCTTATGTGTAGGTTCCCATGGTGCGGAAAATGTGTTGCTTTTTATACAATGAACTTTTAGATTAATATTTATTAATGGTTTATTGGAAAAAGTCTTCAAGGTGTTGCCTAGATTGCATAAGTCAGATTTGGCAGAGTGTTTAGCATATCAGTTACAGATTTCCATGAACTCTGATCAGAATTTTTAAATGATTATTAATAATGGAGTGACTTGCTGTGAAATACAGTTTCATAAACATGTATACAGAAAACACACTGAGACAGTGTAAGAATAACTTGTCAGCAGTGATGAAATAAATGCTTTCATGTTCTGTACTGTATTGCTTCAGCAGCTTCTTGATTTTGCCCATGCTCATTTACATGTTTGGACAGGAGAGTTTGAAATGAATATGCAAGTGTTTCTTGTTTGCTACAAGTGTATCTACTACTGTGTGTATCAGGATATTTAGTTGGCAAGTACTATGCTCTGACAAGAGACTTTGCATGTCTTTAGCTTAGGTGTCATTAGTACGTGTTGGGTCACCTAGGAGGAAATTCACCCTCATGTGATTGCTGTAATCATGGGCTGATGCTTTATTAGAAGGTTCCTAAAAATCTCCCCCTTAGATGGCTGCTTTGTGTGATCAGGGGTTCTGATGAGAAATGATAAGTCTCTAATAAAACCAGCTGTTTTCAAACAGAGCAAATAGCAGCTTTATCAGAAATCTACATGCTTAGATGACATATTTAAATGTCTAAAGTACAAAATGCAGCATAAAGTACAAATGCTGCATTTAAAATGTGGAAGACTTACACCAAAGAAAGATAATTCTATTAGGAAACGCTTTTTAAAAATTACTTAAAATACAACTTACTCACAAATTATTATTTGAAAGAATATTAGATTGATATAATACCCCAAAATTCCTTCCCAACTAGCCTACTATGCTGCTTTTATGGAAAGATAAAGTTGGTTAATAGCATAAAAAGTTGTTAAACCACTGGAGAACTGAAGCATTGAAAAGGCTATGAATGATCATGTCTTGATCATGATCAAGCAAGGTACTTTTCTTTCAGAGGTACATATTAAATTATAGGATATTAGCAAAATACCTGTCTTTCTAAATCACTTTATGTTACAGTTCTGGAGTTTGTGTGGCAATTCATTGACACCAAAACGTGGTGTTTTTGGCAAAACTGGTGATCTCCAGACTATATTGTGCCTCGCCTGTGCAAGGGATGAAGTGACGTATTCTGGTGCGTTGAATGGAGATATCTATGTATGGAAAGGAATCAACCTTGTACGGACAATACAGGGAGCACATGCTGTAAGTATATCACTTTAAATTAATACAAAATGTTAAGTAGATTTCTGCTGAGCTGGAAAGGGCCATGCAAGGTCATCTTGTCTGTGTTCATAAACAGTTGCAATGATAGAGACTCAGTATGTCTTGTTTGAATGGTTTTTAGAACAGTATATAGCTTTGAAAAGTGAAGACATGTCAGTGAACGTTTAATAACATTTTTTGAAAGTGCTTGGTAACATTTTAATTGAAATGTTTAATGCAACTGTTATAATTTGGTTATAATTTGGCTATATAAGTTTTAATTATCTTTTCCATATTATTTCAAAGCATATAGTTTTGAGATTAAAATAGGCAGCAAAAAAACCACTTAGTGCATTGCAGTCTGATTTGTGGATGCCAAACTATGAGAGTCATCATTTCCTCTCCTGGTAGTAATTTGGTAATATAATTCAAAATTTGACTTCAACTTTATCCAAATATCACCTTAAAAACAAAACCAACCAATTTGTTTTACCCTATGAGGCATGAAACTGCTAAGTTCACTTTATAAAGCTGTATGATTTACTGGTTGAATGTTAATTTTTGTTTTGGAAAGCACTATACCTTCTAGCTAATATTTGCAATTCCCTTTTTAGCAATTTAAAATAGTGTGAAAATAAAAGCTTATGAGTTCCAATATTGCAGCTTCAAACTTTTAGGTAAAAATCAATAACAGTTAAGTATTCTTGCTTCTAAGAATGAGTTTGTTTTAACTGGCAATGTTGGACTGGGTAGCATGATGTTTGTAACTGATGTATAAGATTAATTTTTTATGATTTAATCAGGTAGAAAGGGTGTGGAGGAGAGGTTGCAGTCAGTTGTAATGGGGAGGCTCTTGGTTTACCAAAGATTTAGAAACATCATTCAGGATGGTTGCAGCTTGTTGAATGAGCTAATAATTTAAAAGCGACTGCACTGCTTATTCAGACAGTCGTACAATGACAGTGTACCTGATTATGAACAAAAATAAAGCTATGAAGAACATATGTGTGCAAAACATACCTCAGACTATCTTTTGCATTTAAGATTTCTTTATGTACGTATAAGTGTATGTGTATACATATATATAAATACATATACACACACACATACTGTCCTGTATGCATCTACAGAAATATTAAATATATTCAAGAAGGCACAAATTATTAATCAGGAAGCATGAAGGGATATTTTAGTCTTCAAATACTCCTTGATTCTTACTCTATAACTTCTTGTTTTAGTCTTCATATTTACTGTTGAGTAGTGTTCTGTTCTATTCTATATTTTCCTATGAAGATGTGGACATAGCATATGCAGACCTGAATTCCCAGAGGAAAAGGTGCACTTTGTTTCCTATCCAAAACTGATGCCAAAATATTCTCTCATCCTGTTTGGTGCTGTAGGAGACAGCTGTCCTGCATATTAACATATTTGTTATTTGTAGTATTTAAAATTGCAGCAGTTTATTTCTCAGAATAATGCAGTACTTTTCAGCTGTTTCAGTGTGAAATGACACAACTGGCAAATGTAGGATGATGAGAGCTTGTTGCTCTACTACCTTATGTGCTGTGTCAGTTCTTAGTTGACCACAAGATCAAACTTGAAGTGCTGTGTTCCTTATCTTCTTTAGCGTCAGTGGATGGAGCTCAGGTGACCTTGGAGTAGGTCTCATCTAGCCTTCTATTTTTGGCTCTGTCCTGTAAGCTCAATGGCATTGTACTTTGCAGTACTGAAAATTAAGTAGGGACACCAGTCCATGTCTTTGAAATTCATTTTTACAAGAGATTAGAGTCAGTACAAATCTCACCAACTTCCAGGGGGGAAAAACCAAAACCAAGAATAAAATGTTACCTTAAAAGATAATATTGACAGATCATTATAATCAAAACATATAGCAGCTTGGAATGAGAGTTCCTCTTCAACCATACTAAATTATTATCATGATATTTTATGGTTATTTTGTACCTAATTTTATCAATTATGTCCTTCTCGTCTGTCCTTTTGAAAGAAAATGCAAGTGTAAATAACAACATTTGTGATGCACATATGTTGCTAAAGGGACAGTGTACACATAGTAGGGAACTGATACAAATTTCTGTTTAGTATGCTAGTGTTGGAACTGTTGTCCTTGCATGCCTGTTTATCTTCCTGCATCATTACTCCTCAACAGGCTTGAAGTAAACTGTAAATTTTTTGAAGGAAGACATGTCTCATTATTTACATAAATACCATATATTCCTCTCTTGCAGCATAAACAGTAGATATCTGAGATGCTGGAAAGCATTTTCTAAAGCACATTAGTTGTGTGGAGATGTAGTCCATCCCCACAGTTATTAAGTTATTATTAAGGCAGTTGTTTGCATTAAAATAAAAAACATTCTTTTCGAAGGTTGGCTATCTTTGTTACAATTACCCAAGCTAAAAAGACATTTTTAATGTCTTTTTAAGAATAGTTCAGTGTGAAAAATAAAACATGCTGTCCCAGTGTAAACAACCAAGGAAACAGATAGCAATTTTAACACTAACAAGCAAAATAAGAATTCTTAATTAAGCCAGTTCATCTGTCTTCTGTCACAGCAATACTGAAAAGTGTAGAGAGAGGAAAGTAGAATTTCCTGCAGTTTCCTGTCTGAGTTTGAGTACAAACAAAAGGTTGAAAGCAAATAGGTTGGCATGACTGAAGAAATAGTTAGAAGAGGATTGGAGAGTTCACTTAATATAGAAGTAGGAATGAAAAGTAGGAAAATATGGAAATGAGCAGGGCTTGGGAGTAAAGGCACGCAGTTCATGTGCAGGGAACAATGGATATCAATGGGAAACTCCAACTCTAGATTTGCTGATGCCTCCTAAATAATAATACTAATAATGAAAGTTTTAAAAGGGAGGAAGAAAACAACAACATGAAAGCATGTGTAAATTCACTGGAGATGGTAATACTCCAGGAGGTTAATACTCCAGGAAAGTTAATATATACCTTGACTAACTAAAAAACCCCCAAACACTTTTATTAGATGTCTCATTTTTGTACCAGTGCAAAGAACAGCTTATAGACTCTTCTACTTATTTTATCATCTTACATGTTCTAAATTCAAGGCAGTCAATGCATATAGGTGTTACTCGGATATTAAAACAAAATTGTATGCTTATTTAAAAACACTGTATGTTTTAAAGATTCTTGTATGATATGCCCCTGCCTTGAATAGTAAATGTACATAAGATGCTTTTTCAACAGATGAATAATTAATTTTGAGATAGTCTTTCAGAGGTACACATTAAAGTTGTGCGGATTGATGTCAGAAACTGAGGTTAAATAACAAGCTCGAGGTTAAATAACAGGCAGTCTGTTAAAACTACTGCACACCTATGTCAGTTGGCTGGATACTAATTAAATATAGATGGAAACAATATAATGAACTTAAATGAATGGCTTTAAGCTGGTGTCATGTACCAACGCATGCAGTATTTCTCCTACTGCTTAGAATAGTTATTGTTTGAAACATAACTGTCCACTTATTTCAGCCAAAGGGAGGTGTGTAGGCAACTGTTTTAAATTGTTGTAGTACTATGCTCATTTTTAAATTGTTTCATGGGTGATTTGTTAGGTAGGAAGATTAAAAGGTCACGTCTCTCCACTGTAAACTTACTGACACATCTTAAATGTTTGCAATCCATTTCCTTACTATGCAGTATATGTTGGGAGAGACAGTGTCTCAGAGTAAGTGCCCAACATATGTGCTGCTGTACATGCTTTACAAACATCTATGTCCTGTATTGTATCTGGGAGTAAAAAGGAGGCATTGGAGTTCTCTTTGAATGGGTGTAATGTCTCTGTTCTCCATGTTGCTCAGTAGTAGTCAGTTGCTTCTGAAGTTTCCTTACGATCTTTCAAGCTTGGTCCTAATTATAGCTAACTGCAGTCATGTGTTTTAGGAATCGCATAGTCACGGTTAGTGAGGTGGATTTTATACAAACAACTACATTTAGATAAATTAGCACTTGATTTTTGTCCAGGGGGAGCAAAATAGGTGTGGCAGCAATAGAAAACTGGAAACTCTCTCAGTATCGGAAACTTCTTGGATTCAAGCATTGGCAAAATATTCATGCAGTAGAGACCATTCATGTCAAGTTCTTCTTGTACTTTTCAAGCTTTCAACTATAATTTCTGGTAGATCTGGGCATTCATTTCTTTATTTGCTCTCAGTCCACCTTTTTTTTTTTTTCAAATTTGAGGGAGAACACAGATGTGATACCAGCTGGTTATGTTGGAAAAACAGGAAATATTCAGCATTCTGAGAAAACTGCTGATCAATTTGAGATGTTATTTCCAGAATTTCAAAGTTCATTAAGAAGTGTAATGAAAATTTATAAAGGAAGAATGCAGTCTGTATATCAAGATTCATAGCTTTTCAGATGGAAGACTTTGATCTACACCTTTTATTTTGATTCAGAAGCATAGTCAGTCTTTGTGGCTCACATTCAATCAGATCTAAAAAAGTCAGTGCAATTGTTTGTCTCTCATTACTGCTAGAAGGCTTTTGACCATCAAAAATCACATTATGTTAGTGAAAATTTCAGGCTAAAGGATTGAGAGAAGCATGAAGACTCCAAAGTTGATTTACATTAACAATCTTGACAGTTTCTGAAAGGAAGGATTTAGGGAAGGAACTGACAGGCCAAGCTACCCCAGTAAAGAATCTGTCTTTTCCCCATGAAGTGTGAGCCTAACAACTATATGAAGAATAGCAAAGCTCAGCTTTTTCCATTAAAAACTTACAGTCCCTATTAATAAGGGGCCTTTTAAATAGTTTTCATCTAGTTCTCTTACTCCAGTGGCACAGAGACTGAAATGAGAGCGTCCTATTGCATTTCAAGAGATTGAGCAAGCACAACATCTGCCAAATCTCCTTGACAACCAGTATGTCCTTTTCAAGATAAGGATATTCTGTGAAATGGAAAACAGATTAATGCTGGATCCACTTGATCTTATCTTCAGAACATTCAGCCAGCTTCCCACATCACCAAATGTCTGATTATTTTTTTAATACTGACTAATTAAATAATGGATTTTGGAAAGAGTTAATTAGAGAAAAGGAAATAATTGTATTATCAGGGTTGCATTCCAAAAAGAGCCTTTAAAAGATTTAAACTTGGGCAGAATTCAGTATATGGTACAAAATGAGCCAAAATTTCTCTAGCCTTTTATTTGTTCCATGGCACTAAAATCATAAAGGTTGGAAAAGACCTCCCAAGATCATCAAGTCCAACTGTTAACCCAGCATCTCTGTGTTCACCCTATCCTCAAGTGCCATATCCACGTGTTTTTTGAACATTTCCTGGAACGATCACTCCAGCACTTCCCTGGGCAGCCTGTTCCAATGCCTGGCAACCTTTTCAGTGAAGAAATTTTTACTAGTATCCAACTGAAACCTCCCCTGGTGCAACTTGAGGCCATTTCCTCTCATGCTGTCACCCCACACTTTGCTACAATCTCTTTTCAGGTAGAGAGTGATAAGGTCTCCCCTGAACCTTCTTTTCTCCAGGCTAAACACCCCATTTCCCTCAGCTTCTCCTCATAAGACCTGTTCTCACAATATTAAAGGTTAATGAAGTAAAACAGGTAGACACACATGGAGAGAAACAAATACAGTTTGTGTTGTATTTTTGAAAATCTCTAGGCTCCTAAAGAAACAGAAAGAGGATTTTCACGACATCAGAGATAATGGGAGTTAACCTTCTAATCTGCTTATGACTTAAAAATTCCACTACATTTCTGTTTAGGCACATACCGCTCCTGAAAACATTGCCTGTCATAAAAGTCGCTTTCCTGAGGATCGACATGACATGTCAAAAGTTTTGAGTTCTGATTGTCATTTGACATTCTAGTAAGGGCAGGCTTTTTTTTGTGAAGGCCGAGAGATTTCTTTTTCTCAGCTTGAAAAATTATATCCTTGTTACCTGATATTAGAGAAGCAAACACAGTCCATATTTCATTATGACTAGTCCATTATGATATTTTTCTTAGTTGTAATTTAAGAAGAAAAACATGCTGATAGGAGAGAATAATAATTGAGTACCTTGGAATTCCCATAAATCACAACACTGTACCTTGATTTGTTCTGTGAGTGTACAGCTTTGTTTTCGACCAAAAACCATCTCTCCTTTGCAAATTGCTTTCATCTTTAGGGTTAATGTGTGTCATTACTGTAAAATCCAGACCCCTAACCAATGAAACTATTGGAACTTTACATTTACTTCTTTACAAAACTGAAATTTCAGAACAATATTATAGCAGATATATGTGTATTATTGGCTGTTCTATCTCCTTTTGGACAGGACTTTGAGACAAAGTTTTTCTTTCATTGTTTCTAATGCTCTCTTGTTTACTTTTGTCATAGCTGAATATTAAATACTTTGAATAAATATAGAGCAAATTTTTTGACTTCTCATAGGCTTATCAGCTAAAGTTGCCCTTTCAGTAACTTTACTTACTGAAATGTGTGAGCTACTTCCGAACACGAGATTAGTAATTAAAAAATACCCAACAGTGTGTGTGCTATTTAGATATGTATCATGTTAAATCAAATATAGTGCATATGTGGCTACAGTATCTTTATTTTAATATTATATATATCATCCTTGCCTCTGTTATCCTGCAGAAAACATGAATCAAGTGAGTTAAAGAAAATAATAGGTTTTGTTTCCTATTGTTCACCTTTAAAATAAGAGCTTATTACCAATGATGTAGAATTATCACTGTTTTTCTTACATTTTGTTTCTAAACTTAAGGTTTGAATCAATATTTGTTGGCTTAATATATAAAAAAATCCCAGATTTTTTTTGCCTTACTCTGCTTTATAAAAGCTGAGTAATATATAGCAATAAAGGCCCTAAACCAAGACTAACATACATCACAGGAAATCTTCATGCTGACATTTGTTAGGGTTAGACCAGGTCCTAAGACAAGAGGATATGAAACTGAACTCTTTCTAGGGATAAGAAGCAGCATCACTATGATGATTATCAGGATGAAATCATTGCAATAATTGTCTTATTGTTTGTCACTAAATATGAATTCTGCTTGTTGTGAGTTTTTTTCCATTTCTGACTCTCTCATATTTAAAGCTTTTATTAGTTGCATCCTGGTTTCTCTAATCTGTGTATATTGTTTAAAATAACTTTCTTCTCTCTTTAGGCAGGAATTTTCAGCATGAATGCATGTGAAGAGGGTTTTGCCACTGGTGGCAGGGATGGCTGTGTTCGCTTATGGGACTTAAATTTTAAACCAATTACTGTGATTGATCTCAGGGAAACAGACCAAGGATATAAAGGTAAATGGAAGTTTATCACTTTCAATACACCAATAAGGTAGGAAATTTATCAGTATTTTGAACAACAAAAGACTTGAAAACCCAAAAATGTTGTTTCATGTATGTTACTGTAAACTATTTGCTAGAAATAGAATAGATCATGCCCACTAATATGAAGGTCACATAGTCCTTCAAAGTTACTGTGAAACATAAGATCAAGATTTATACTTTTTATACTTTTTATACACATCGTTTCTAGAGAACAGCATCTTTTAACAAGGAACAGTAATGCTTAAAGAGAACTTGGAAGAGACAATGAGATCTACAATGTAAAACAATGGAGTCCAAAAATTGCATTTGCTAGTTATTCAAATTTTTATTAAAACTATTTGGAAGTTATTTACAGTTTTGCAGTACTTAGAACACTGCTTACATAGAACACTGCTTACATATGCTTATGACTTCAGTTACAATTTGTCATGCTAAATTTTTACATGGAGTGTTCCAGATATTGTTGCTGTAACAATTTAGGAAAAGAATACAAACATATGCTGAAGCATTGATGTCATTTACAATATTGCTTTTGTTGGCATTTGATCTTCTTTGCCCCCAGTCACTTTGTTATTTTCTAATGCCTTGCCAAGAATCTGAAAATGTGGTAGAATGTCTGATGGCAATTGGATACTCAGGGTCAATAATAACAAGTTAAATCTTTGTATGCTGTAATTGACTTGGCATTCCCACCAAGATTGTGAAGTATTGCAACAAGATGCAATACATTCCATTTTAAATATGCCCTGCAGTAGAGAGGCTCTGTTTTAAATTTGAATTTACTCAGCTGCTGTTTCTCGGCTCTGCTGCATGTAAATGAAAACTGTGTTTCATTCGCCATTTCCTTCCCTCATCAAATGCCCATGACAGAGCTAATAGATTTTTTAAACACTTATCTTTAATAAAATCCCCTTCACTCTTTTTTTCCTTCTTCTTGTGTACTTTTGAGGATTACCTTTATGACCTGTCCTTTTACTTGTTTTCTTAATTGCATTTTTTGCTGCTCCTATACCTTAACACTTGGCAATTTCTCTTGTAAACATGAACTCAAGATCTGTATCCTTGTGAATGGCTTGCAGCAATTAGTTGACTCTAGACTTATTGTCCAAGTAGTCATATTGTATTTCAAAATGTCTCCCTCCAGCACTAGAAGTTCCAAATTACTAAAACAAGTGTCTTAATCATCCTTTATCAAAGATTCTGGTTGGTCATTTCTTTATTTTTTAATCACTGTAGAGAGATTAGCCGTATAACGTCTAAATTATAGGCAGTGAATGGCAAGGTGGTTATATTCACCAGAGCAATCAACAGATCAAATCTGTAAAGCAAAACAGATGCTGTGGGGGGGCAGAGTAGAACAATATATATGCATTTTGAGGGGTGTTTGAGGGACGTTAGCTCTAGTCTGGTTCAGCAGACTGAAAATTGCATTGCAGTTGGAGTGCACTCCTGGAGCTCATTGTTCTGTTTCGTGTGGACAGAGTCTTATTTGTGCATTTGAAGGCTATCTTGTAATGCAAAGTGTGTTAAGTAGCCACAATCAGGATCTTTGCTTTGAGAGCTAGCTTCGTCAGAATTAACACATCCATGCAGAGGCACCACACTGGCCTACTAACCCACCATTCACTGTTTGTGAGTCATTCAGTTTCTTTCCACGGTAAATTTAATAACATAAGGCTTTTCTTTTCCTTCTACATAATTAAAAATATTTTTCAAAAGCTCATCAATCTGGACCATTACAACATTCCTTTCTTTTATCTGATATATATAATTTTGTCTCACATATTAATCTAGAGTAGCTTTTCAAAGATGTTCTGGAGCTGCTCTCCACAAAGGCAGTGTTTAGGCAAACTAAGTCAGGCATTGCTACCATCTGGTTATGAACATTTCAAATTGGCAAAATTGAGTTGCGTTATCAGAATGTAATAAGTGCAGCCTGTTTTAAAAGGTACATATTACTAAAATCAGGCACCCAAGACTGGGTTCTCAGTGTAACTGTCTTAACTTCCATTTTATTATTCCTGGCCTTATCTGCAAACAACAACTGTTAGTCTAAAAGTTAATTCAGTTGTTAGAAATGCTTGTTAAATTCCATCATAAACCCTTTTCAACTCTCTAGATGTTGTTTCAATTTGATTTATTATTATTTTTTGTTTATTTGGAAAAAATAATTTCATATACTCTTAAGATGTTACAAAGAATTGGGCTCTTTGACTTTCTTACATATAATACTTGTTCCACTGATGTTTTTGTCGCTTAAATAATTTGGATTCACCTAGTTAGTACTAAGGTCCATAGTTTGATCAGAAACTGTAATTTATATTCTCTGCTAACTTTGTTGAAGGTTAGAGACATTAAAGGCATAATTTCAGCTGCAAATGTCAGTACTATATTTTTCCTTTATTGAAATAAGGCTCACATTTTATTTTAGAAATTTCTTAATACTAAGCTTGAAAAGTTTATGTTCTGAGTGCAAGTATGTGTTATTTGGAATAGATAAAAGGAGTGAATGGAGGACTAAGAGAAGGTATATGGATAATTCTTGACATTTTCTTGCTTTTATGTTTTGTTGTGTGCTACTTTACCTTTGTTTCACGAATTCTGAGGATGTGTCTTTCAGTAACAATCTCTTCTACAGGTCTGTCTGTAAGAAGTGTTTGCTGGAGAGGAGACCATATACTTGTTGGGACACAAGACAGTGAAATTTTTGAAATTGTGGTGCATGAGCGTAATAAGCCTTTCCTGATAATGCAGGGGCACTGTGAAGGAGAGCTGTGGGCTTTGGCTGTCCATCCTACAAAACCCCTGGCAATGACTGGAAGTGATGATCGATCAGTCAGGTTAAGTCTTGTTTGGTTGTTTGTTTAACTGCCTACAGTTTTATAGGAACAAATGATTTGTGGAATTGAAGTGCTCCTACAGTTTAGGGATGCATGAAATGAGTGCTCGCCAGTAATAAAATATAGTGGAGGTATATATTTCCCCCAAAAAACATGTACAAAATTTGAAAAAAATTCATTTAGACTAATTGAGCACTCAAAGACAAGTATCCTGTAAGTGTTCCCTTTCCAGGAGCTATATTAAGCATTCATAGGTTACAATGAAAAAATTGTATTAAAAACTTATATATTTTACTCTTACCTATTCACTTTTCCATGTGTTGCAAATTAAATTTTAGTTTGTGAATTTCATCAAACTTAATGCATGCATAAACAGAATATAAATGCTCATAAAATAAGAATTTAAACAGAATATAAATGCTTATATTCTGTTGGTAAACAGAATATAAATGCTCATAAAATCTACTAGATTAATCTTTTACAAATTCATCTTTTTTTTTTGTTCAAACACCTTTTCTTTCTTATAAATATCTTAAGGGTAACATGGTTAAGAGAATCAGTAGTTCACTTATTAATATTGAAATAATACTCTAAAATTCACAATATGTCTTGTAAATGATAGATGTTATAATTATTAGTTATAAGGAGTTATTAGTAATGACTTGTTAGTAGAAAAGTTTGTTTATACTGATCAAAGTCTTTATAATTGTTATTTAATGTTCTTGGCTAAAATGATTAACAAAATAGTAGAATTTTCACAGGAGTGGTCTAAAAGTATATCTTGTCGTATGTTATTTTTTATTTTTTAAAAAATCAAACAAAATTAATCTGCCCCCACATTTTCTCAGTATTGATATTTCCTCACCCTTTAAAATATAAGACTGTTCCTTGCTCTATACAAAATTCACACTTTTGACCTAGATTTTCCTTGTGGAAAATTATTTTAAAATAAGATACTGCTACGTCCAGCATTTTTCAGAAATTGTGGACTTCATCTTACCTATAACAAAGCTGCAAACCCCTTTTTATGTTTGAAATAATTACTTTATTTTAGAATTTGGAGTTTAATAGACCATGCTCTGATTGCCCGGTGCAACATGGAGGAACCCATTCGCTGCGCCGCAGTCAGCACTGATGGAATCCATCTTGCTCTGGGTATGAAGGATGGCTCTTTCACTGTGCTCCGAGTCAGGTATGGTACAAAATCAAAAGCAGATACGTTATTAACTCCTTCAAGCAGGTTATCTAGTTGCTTTTGTAGATTGTATGTATACTGACACTGTAGTGACCGTACATGTGGTTACTTACATTTTTGTTTCAAATTATGGAGTATACTCAGATTTTTTTAAATGTGCTACATATGTTCATGTTGTTCCATAACAACCCATTTGAAAAAAGTATTTTGGTCTATTTGGTGAGAGTGGCAAGGTTCTAGGAAATGTTTTACTTTAGGTTTTAGCTTTATTAATTATTCTTGAATTACTAAGAAATAAATTTTCATTAATTCCTAAATTGTTTCCCTGTGTTGGAAATCCACTGTCAGCACATCATACCTATAAAACCAGTGTTGACTTGTTGCTGAGATCCCACAGTTTTAAAGGGAATGTCTGAGATCTGTCTCATGTCAGTGAAGTTTTCTTCCCTGAGTGAATAAAGATCTGGTAACCTACCTGATGAGGTTTTCTTGTGGACCCAGTTTGAACAGTTCCTTCTTTTTTGCTCTCCCTCAGCCCAGTGCAGCACCTTCTTGTGTCACTGTTCCCTTCTCTTTTTTTTGGCCATGAAGCCCTAACCAACTCTAAAACCAGCAATTTTGTGTTTTCTCATGGGATAGTTAAGTTCACTTCATAATTTCACGATCTTGTCCATTTTTTAAAACTGGGAACTTGAGAGTGTGATAAGGCTCTTCTATGCTTATGACATGCTTTCTTTCATACTACAGAGATATGACTGAGGTTGTTCATATCAAAGACAGGAAAGAAGCTATTCATGAACTCAAATATTCTCCAGATGGGAATTTCCTAGCTGTTGGTTCCAATGACAGCTCTGTGGATATATATGGTGTTGTTCAACGATACAAGAAGGTTGGGGAATGTATTGGATCTTTAAGTTTCATCACACATATGGATTGGTCTTCAGACAGTAAATACTTACAGACCAATGATGGCAATGGAAAGAGACTTTTTTACAGAATGCCAAGTAAGATTCTGAGTTGTCTTTATGATATTTGTTACTTATTACAGAAATAATGTATAGTAGTTTTGTAAAAACAGCCAAATGTAAATCCTGGTTCAAAGCATGTGGTTATAGTGAAAGTTTTTTGTAAGTTTGTATAAATATTTGCTATATTTGAATAAGTACGGCATTTTTATGGCAAAGTTACTTAAATATCTCTATTCGTATGTGTTTACTGTCCTTTCAAATGCATCTTTTCATGCCAGAGATGTTGGCTTATAATTTGTTTTATTTCTCAAGAATAAAGTTTTGCTCTCACTTTTTAGAAGGAGAAAAATGCAGCTTTCAAATTCAATTTTGCAATATCTTAATAGCTTTGTACTTGTGGAGCTTGGTTATTACATGAATTACCACTTAATTGCGCTGTAGGATTTTTTAAATGTGTGGAAAAATCAGTATGTTGCAGCTCAGGAGAGTCATTTGGTTTTCCTGAACTATGTTTGCAGCAGAACTGAGGAATTTAACTTAAAAGAGCTTTTACACTGAGAAACTTTGTGATAGCCCCATTATTGTAAGTGTTTTCAAGATAACACTCTTGAAAACTTGACTGAACAATCCCTTACTATAGAAATAATTTCCATCAAGATGGTTCCCTCTGTAGATGACATATGCACATATTACAATATCTTAAAGCTTCAAATTTAGGTAATCCTGATTAGAATATGCCAAGGGCAGTATTTATCACAAGGCTTAACTTCTTTCTTCTGTCAATTGTATACACTCTTTACATAATGATATTTTCCCCACTCATCATATTTTTTAGTAATTATGTATTATTATCACCACTTTTTACATTTTCCCTTAATTGTTGTACAATATTTATTCTTTGCACTGTACATTATTGACAGATCCATGCAGCTTTTTGTTACTCTTTTTGCTGAAGCATCTAATTAATTTTGATTCTCTGTACTGAATGAAGATACATAAGAAAAGATAGTAAGAAATTAATTAGACAGTAACAAATACACACAGGAGGAGCAATTTGAAGTCATATAGGCAACTTTCAGCCTGAGATTTTTATCTGTTAGAATGTGGGATTTTGCAAGTTTGTTTATGAAAAAAGTTTAGCAAAGTCAGTGGAGCTGGAGGAATGTGCTAATATTTCAAAATAATATTCAAATGGTGTAACACTTGAAATTCCGCTATAGGTGAGTAAAGGAACTTGCAGTTTCTTGGTAAAAGATCTGTAGGACTTAGTTATCAATATAACCAGTTTTAGTAGTCATTATTTATATGAATTAGTGATTGAAAGAGATTACAAGGTAAACCTTGTCAAAGGTTGCCTTTATTTTATCAGAGCTGAAGGACCTTCAAACAGGGCACTTGAGTTCCTTTCCAGCTTTTGGAGGGATATATAGTAGTTAAAATTGTTCTCAAGTGTGGGAGGTTTGTTGTTGGTTTTTGGTTTGGTTTTTGGATTTTTGGTTGTTTTGATTTTTTTGGTTTTTTTGTTGGTTATGGGGGTTTTTTTAAAGTCTTCCTTCTGATTTATTTGCCATTTTGCTTTCTTTTCTCTAGGACTGTTCTTTATTTACTCTATTGAGTCCAGTACACTTGAATTCTTCCTTATACCCTTCTGTTGTAAACTTCTTACAGTGCTTGTGACTGCTCTCCCCTACATCTCATCCCATCCCATTTGCTTCCACTAGGCAGAATCCTACTTACAATAAGGAATTGTTGTCTTCAGTTTTGTTACCGCTAAAGACTAAGAGTGAATTGTTGTCCTGCTCAGGTTTTGCAGTTATGTTCAGTCCAACTCACAGCTTTCACATTTGCTTGCATTGCTCCTGTGTTCCTCCTGCACTCTGTTCTGGCCTTTGCAAAAGACGCACTATTTATTAAATGTGCCTTTGGTCTGACTCAGTTCATCAGCTCTTATGTGAAACTTTGTCATTGCCAATAGAGCTGGTGGTGAAACTGATGTAACACGGATGCAAACAACATTGGTATTTTCAGTAATTTACAGTGGCCAAATCTAAATGAGTTCATTTTTTTTCTCAAAGTAATTGAGGTTTCTAGAATCATTCATTCAGCAACAGAATTTTTCTGAACTTTATATTAAAATTACTACCTGTATATTTTGATAAACATTTAAAAAATAACACAGCCTCAAGAGATACCAAGAAATTATAAAAGCTGTAAAGTACCAAAGCCATGATGTTCTGTTAAGTAGTCTTGAGAAGCCCTACTATCGATACTTTTGGTCATAATAAGGAATATTAGGTCAGGACAGTGTCAGAAGTCCATTTTTATTGTCTCTCACTTGGATTTGATTTCTAGAGAATTTTTTAAATGTTACAGTCTTTAAAATTGCATAAACGAACATTTAAAAATTACCCTTTATTTTTTTTCTTAGGTGGAAAAGAGGTAACAAACAAGGAGGAATTAAAAGGCATTCAGTGGGCATCATGGACCTGTGTTTCTGGCGTAGAAGTTAATGGAATCTGGCCCAAATATTCAGATATAAATGATATAAATTCTGTGGATGCAAATTTTATTGGGCAAGTTATGGTTACAGCTGATGATTATGGAATAGTAAAGCTCTTTCGATACCCATGTCTAAGAAAAGGTAGTACCCTTAAATTCAATTATAAAAGTATTTTTGAATTTTGGTTATTCAAGAAAAATGTATTAGAAGACTGCAGTTTTGAAAATTATATAAATGGCTAATATTTTTGATGGAAGTTTAGTTAGAGCTCAGAGGTAGAGAACAATAATTAGCTGGTGTATTGAGAACTGTAATATTAGCAGTATTTTATTTGCCTTTTGAATAGGATAGTCACAAGCTTTACTTATCTTTTATTTTGTAAAATAGTTCTCTTTTTTTGTTAGAATTTTGTGAGGTGACTCAATATCTACCTTTTTATGAGATACATATCTTTATGTATTTCACCTTGTCATCAAGTAGTTTTCTTCCTTTCTCTGGATGTGTGATAGAGATTTGGGCTAGGAACTAGAAAAAAGTAACTTTACTAAATTATTAGAAGTAATAAATAAGTGACCAGCATATTGATCCTGTAATCAGGGTATGCTACTGTATGTTATTTGAAATTTTAAAGGTTTTCCAGTAGCTTTTTCAAAATTTTTCCAACAAGAAATGACAAATCTTGTTAAATTTTTCAAACTGAGGCCTAAGGTGAGAGATGTAATTTTCAAGTTTACTCTTCAGGACTGAGTGAACAGAGGAGATACGTGCATCTTTTTAGACAAGAAAGGCTTCATTGTTTCAGAGCTGTGTGAAAAACTCCATTCTAGACACCATTCATTGGATTACCTCATGTACCAATAAAAGCCTTTTCACTTTAAACGTAATCTGGAAAAGAAATATTTTTTAATATCACCTTTTACAAGGTGAGTGGAAAAAAATATGGGGGAATATCGGTCTTTAAAGACAAATAAACAAACAAACAAACCAAAAAACAACATCCAAAACATTTCTTTAAGTACATATTACTTGAAGACGTCTTAAGACCCATCCGTGCAGTTGTAGCCAGCATTAAACACGAATGGCATCTAGAACAGAGTCCTTCAAACAGCTCTGAAACAATGAAGCCTTTCTTGTCTAAAAAGATATCTGTATAATAGAGTGCTGTTAGGAACTTCATTTTAGTAGTTGATCCAATGATTGTATTGTAATTATGTAGTAGTTGGGGAAAACATTAACTTGATGTAGCTATGCTACTGCTACTAGTTCTACTACTGCTAAAAGTGGGAGCATATGCATTGCTAGAAGTGCTTAGCACTCAACTTGCACAGTGAGAACCACTGCTACAAGCACATACATGGGGGTGTTTTCACAGACCTAAATATACATGATTTAAATAACTGTATATTTTCAATGTAGAAATAATAATTGTCAAAATCTCAGTTTGTAAAAAAATAAAAAGAATTAATACAATAAAATTTTTGAAATATTTAAATCTCATACAGCACCATCATATCTCTTTTCTTCTTGAATTTGACTTAAGAGATTTTATTTTGAAACCCAAATTTAAAAATTTATCTTAAAGACTGATTAAAATTTGTGAATACTGCAAAAAGTTGCTGCTATTAATTAAAGTATTAGTACTAATTAGAATATATTTATTAAGCTACTACTTTTTATAAGGGTTCCTTAATGTGATTTCCTGAGGTGCTTCTGAAACATTTATTACACCAATATTGAAAGAAGTTTTATAATTCTTGTTCTAGGAGCAAAGTTTAAAAAATATCTCGGTCATTCTGCTCACGTGACAAATGTCAGATGGTCCCATGATCACCAGTGGGTTGTTTCCATTGGAGGAGCTGATCACTCTGTCTTTCAGTGGAAGTTTGTACCTGACCGGAAGTTGAAGGATTCTCTTCATATAGCACCCCAAGGTAAGCAACTTATAAAAAAACCACCAACAAAAGGGTGGAAGGAGGGAGGCTAAAAGAGAAGTAAAATTCTTTGGTGCAAGTATCGAAATAAATATTCAGAATTGTCAGTCTGCACAAAGTTGTTGTTCTTTAAACTTTGCAGCTGCCTGAAATACCTGATGAAATTGCCTAATACTTACCAGTACCCTGTATGTTCAGGCTAGCAAGAGCGTGAAAAACCTCCTCACTGCTGTGTTTCCTCTACAAAGGAAAATTTTAAAAGTTCAGACCAAAATGCAAATTTAGGAATTCTATACGTAGCATCCTTTACTAAATTGACAACAATTGGATGCCCGGATGTCACTGAAAAAATAGATTTTATACTCCTTTGATTCAAATTTTGAAGTATTTAGATGATGATTTAAGCATTATAGCTGATTGTTTAATTTTAAGTTTTTTTAAAGCAGAATACAGATATTTTGTGTTTGGGAAAAAATGAAGATCATGTTTCCACTAGTGACTAATACAACAATTATTCTTATGACTGAGTTTCCTAAAATCAAACAATTAACTGAGTGCCTCCCCTGAAAATTCCTAAAAGAATTTAGAGAGGAGAAATAACTATATAGAGTTACAATGAAATAGGCTGTTTCACCATTTAATTGCTAAGATCAGATGAATATGTATCAGGGTGGACCTAACAAACAGGTAAATGAATACCAATTCTGTGCTGAACTTGTCAGTGACAAATGCAGAAGGAAACAATAGTTATCTTAATCTCCTTGACAAAGCCTTCAAGAAGTCTTTAACTGCTTTTATTCTTCATGGTATGAACTCTTTTTCAACTAATTATTTCCCATGACCTAAATTTCTGTATTAGCTGCTGCTTCTCAAGATAAAATTTCTACATGTTAATGGATTCCCTGTTCCTGGATATATAGCCTTACTTCTGCCTATCTGACAGTATGTGCAACATACATCTGCTTTGTCACATGATTGATAATTGTCCTGTTAGTGGTTTTCCTAACTCTGTAATCTTCTGCCTTTATTGGTAACAATATTGGTTTTCTCTAAGTCACTGGTGAAAATGTTAGGTATTACAGGTCCAAAGATAGCTCTTTATTGCATTATTCTATAAACAGTCCTTATAGAGGAGTGGTGATTCTCTTGGGAATTACATTTTGAGACCTGTAATATTCATTTGTGTTCTAGGCTGTCTTTAAGTCTGGTTTCTTAATCAAAAATTGTACAACATTCAATCAAAGGTTGCAAAAAGTTCAAAATAGATTATCATTTGTCAGCCAGGACATTCTTTTCAGTTTCTGGAATGAAACTCTCTGCTACGAGATATAATCTGGCTCTCCCTACATGTAAAACTTTAAATTACTATCCTTTTTCTCAACAGCCACAAAAAATTTTGCCACTTTCTCCCCATATTTAATTTTCTTTCCCACTTATCTACCTAAAGAATTTCTATTCACATCAGTCGCTCACTTAACCATAAGTTTCTCTTTGGAACTCCTCTCTTGTTAATTTTCTGCAAGTCTTAAGTTCTGCTTTGTACTCATTACTTCGTTCTCTTCTTCTTTCCTTTTTTTCCTAACATTAATGTTGATGAAATAATTTTAATGAAATCTAACTTGCTTCTATACTCCCCAAAAATTATCATACTTCCAAGTTGTCTCATTTCTAATCTAAGAATTGGTCCTGTAGAATTGGTCCTGTCAGCCTGTCAATTATTAGCAGTTTATGTTGTAGGTAATAAATGCACTGATTATCAAAGCAGAAGCATTAAGGTTTGTGCTTTATGTTGCTTAATTTTCTGTTTCTGTTTTCTTGGTGACAGAGAGTCTGGTTGACTCTAATAGTGATGAATCAGATTCAGATCAGTCTGATGTTCCAGAGCTGGACTCTGAAATTGAGCAAGAGACACAGATCACCTATCGTCGACAGGTAAAAGTTTTGGTTTCAAGGGCAGTTGGAATATTTCCCAGGGTTTAAGTTGGTCCTTTATGAAGACTGTTGAAATTTGAAAGGTGGTAAGACTGAGAGCTGCATGGGAACTGACCAAAAGCTTTAGAATTGTTATTACCTGATGTATTCAAAAGATTAAGGTTATTAAGATATATTAATTAATGAATAATTGATATTAAGATAATAATTAAGATTAATATTAACACAGAGAAAATTTATTATATGTATTCCTAGCATGCTCTACTGGAGTTTTGGTTGCAATTTAAAAACAAGTTGCTCTGTTACTGTACAATCACTGGCTACAGGTATTGGAGGGGTTTTTTCAGTGATGTCAGGATAACAGTTTTGTGGGTGATAGCTGTGGCTGAACTCTCAGAAACTTGCTGATTTTTACGTATGCTCTTTCTTAAAGGTTTACAAAGAAGATCTACCTCAACTTAAAGAGCAATGCAAAGAAAAAAGAAAAAGTGCAGCTTCTAAGAGACGTGAGCGAGCTCCAGGGAACAGTATAAGACTACATTTTGTTCATGGGTATGCAAACGAGGATTCTTTAAAATATACAAGTAGACTGTTTGTGTTTTGTAGATTAGTGTTTATAATTTAATAATATGATGAAAGAATTTCAGGTCAGTTGCTTTGTGATTTAATATTTTTGTTTATTTCTGTAAAAATAAATTTACACTAAATAAAAATCTTTGATGCCAACTTACTAATTCTACACATAAATTCTGAACTGAATTTGCACTGAAACTTTAGCTGATACTTACTATTTGAGTACAGGTGACTAAATAAAGTATTCAGTAGTCTCACCCACATTTTTCAGTATCTGGAAAGTAATAGCTCTCTTTGTTCTATTATTTTGGTAGTTACAATACAAACTTGGTATAGTTAAAGATGACTGGGTGCTGTACTAAGTGGTGTTTCTAGCAGTATTTTATTAAAAAAGATACATAAACTGTACCTAGTCTGAGACAACTTACATATTCTTCTCTTGGTTTAGGAACTAAATTTATTTTTAATAGGTTCTGTAAATTTGTTAAAATTCAGTTTCATTCTCTTTTTGGTGTTAATTTGAGTAGTAGAATGACTTTCAGATGCATCCTTGAAATCTTATGATTTTGTCTTTAGGGTTGGTAGTCTCTCATAACTCTGTAAGTGAAGAATTTTTATCAGAACAAAGATGTGGTGTTTTAGAGCAAGCTGGCATTAGACGTTACTGCATTAGAATAATGATCAGAAATCTGAGTTTTCCTTTCAAAAGATACCTCTTTGCAGGAATGTATCTTCTTTTCAGATATAACTAAATGCATGGATAAGTTATTGATACTGTCTGTCTTTATAATGGCGCTTAAACAATTGTAGAATGGCTCCACATGGAATGCTTACTAAATTAGTTGGCTAAGAATAGGTAATCATTCAACTCAGCAACTTGATCTGTAGAAGGCATGTAATCTGACTAATAGCTTTGGAAATAATGACAACTGGAAAGCTTGGTACAGAGTTTGGGGTTTTTGTTGGGGTTTTTGGTGTTTTTTCTTCTTTTTTTTTTTTTTCTGCCTTTGATGCTCCAGAATTCTCAGTTGAAGATTTTTATATCCATATAGAAAGTGCATTAATGTGGGTAACTGCTATATATAGTCTTTAAAATTTGGTCTAAGAATAAAACCAAATGATCCTGAAGAAGATGTAGCACAAGCAAGGGCCCTGGATCTTTGGTATTATTGTTATTTCCTTCACAACAGAAGTGAAGCATGACCAGAATATCCAGGAATGACCAGAAGTAAAATGTCCTGTTGAGTTCTGTCTGGTTACCCAATGGGCATCAAGAAAACTAATGAAGAATCCATGCTGAACAACAGATTTTTCTCAATGTCCAGGCTGTTAACTTTAAAGTGACCCACGTCCAAGTGAGTAATAGGTGTATTCTCTGATTCAGGAAGTCTGCTTTGCTTCATCTTTCTATAGCTGCAATGGAAATGTCTTGGATGTTCTTTGAAAGTGTAAGAAGTAGTGCTTTTTTGAATCAGGGTAATAGAAAGCTCTTTTTCCTTTCTTTTTTTTTTTTTTTGAGCTTTTTGGTTTTGTGTTTTTAAATTGTCAACTGCCTTGAAAGATGAACTTTTGAAAATCTCTTCATTTCCTGTAAGAAATCTTTTAAACCTCTGGTTCCTTCCTACTTTAGAAGGGCATAAACCCAATAATTCTGAGTTTATGAGCCAGCCACTGATTAATATGGATGAGAAAAGAACTTCTGTTAAGAGGTTCATCTTTAAGTGCATCTTTCTATAAGAGCTCTGATACAGTCATGATCAGAAACGTATTATTAAATTGGTGTACTAGTTTGGCCTCTTTTTGACTATTCCTGTATTTCAATTTTGCCATGTCTTTGCCATTGGTGGTGGTTCAGAAACATGAAAAGGATACATATTTTAAAATATTCAGAGGAACCTTTTTCTCAGATTCAATGCTTATTATGCTTTCTTTTTGCTGTCAGGAAATAAGAATGCAAATGTAATACTTATGCCCTGTCTTATTTCCAAGCTATGCTGTTGATTTCACAAAAACGATTTTTTCTTTAAAATTTTTTTAAAATATTCATAGAATCATAGAATGATTTTTCAATATTCAAAGATCTAGTTTGATTTCAGCATATTCGTTGAACTACCCTTATCTTAAGATGAAATTTGGTAACGGTTTCAAGATGACACCGAAATGCTTTTAAATGAGAGTCTTTCATGAATTACTACAAGTACCTAAAAGTAGTATCTGAAGGGAATAGGCTATGAGTGGGTTTTGTTGCGAAAACACCATTACCATGCAGAATAATTTTTTTTAAAAATAAAAATCACCACCTTTGTACTAAAGACTCTGCTCTCAACTGTGTTCATTTTGACATTTGGTTCTTCTAGAGATTTTTAGTGGAGGGTTGGACTACATTTGGAAATGTCCCATATATACTTTGAAGAGTAACATAAAACTTTTGAAAACCCTGACAGCATCAGGCAAGCCACAGACATTGACTCTTTTCCCAGAGAGGACATTGCTTGTGAGGTTGTCCCTTAGCTGGCTTTAGCTCTGTGACTTGCAACTGTGGGAAGGATCCAGCTTCAGGTTACAGAATTCACAGCTCTGTGCCTAAAAGTAGACGATTTTATGTGTATATCTAAACTTCCGTCACCGTCACTGGAGATGCAGTCAGTAGTCAGTGGAGCATAAGTAGTGATTTGTAAATTACTTCAGCGGTTTGTTTTCTTTGTGCAAATAGATTGTTTCTTTTCATGCTTTTTCTAAGATTAGCTAATAGTCTTGGTTCTAAATTGGTTTAATAGTATGGAGATGTAAGTATTTTGGAACTGTGTAAAAGATTCTCAGGGAATGATTTTCTACATTGAAATATGCTTCTTTTCATCTCTGCTCAACCTTAGCCCATCACTTTCCTTCTCGTAAAAAGTACCTGTGTAGTCAGGGAGTTAGTAAACTGTGATGTGGGAAAGACCAAATGTGTTTATTTGGGCTACAAAGGGTCTTTGTTGGCCCTGCTCAATATTTTGGCAAAATATGTTGTATTTCAATTGTAAACAACTGATTGTACACATTTTTTAATAACTAGATAAAATTAACTAGAATCAAAACTTCTGATCACAGAAAGTTATGGATATGAGTAATAAGAACTATTTTCCTGCATGTTATGTACATTTTGGATATTTTGAGTAGTCCTGTGATACATGGCATTAATGTACTCAGTTTCACTAGGTTGAATTTAGGGTATATAGGCAATTGTTATGATGAACTAGGAAAATTCGGAATTTCTGAGTTACATGGAGGAGGATCTACTTTTGCTGTCTTAATGCTTTTTACTTTTATAAGTGACTGCTAAGCTTGTAAGAAATTGCTCAATGTCCAGTATTTCTAAAGCAGTATTTTTCTCAGCATGCATATTTTCGTAGCTGTTTTTAAAAAATATTCTCCTTTAGAGTGCATATTTGCCTTTTTTCTTTTTTATTACTCTGTACTTGCAAAGGAAATCCAGCATGTTTAACAGAACACAGTGCTGAATGAAGTACAGGAAAATTATGTCCAAGCAACAATGGGTTCAGATATCTTCTCTGACACTGTGCCTGCCTTTATAATCCCTGCCCCTCACTGAATGTTGTCATGTCCTTAAAATGGTGATGTTACATACTGTGATAGGTTATTTTTCTTTCATCATAGTTATTCTAGGTCATTGTATATTCTGTCCCTTTAAAAACTGGTGGCTAGACATCAAAATAGGGTGCAGGCAGGCAGCACTTTGTGTTGGGCAGAAATCAGCTTCAAAACATCTGCACACATTGCTGCTGGGGGATGTTGTTAGTGAAAGATGTGGGTGGAGGGAGACCAAAGAATGACTGAAGAGTTTGCACCTGTATTGTGAGTCTAACTTGTTGGTCAGTTTGAGAAGAGTAGGGAGCAAACATATAGCTGAGCCTCAGATATAATGGAAAGAGATTTTTCTAGAGACCTTGAAAGGACCGTAACTCAGGAGACACTGCAAGTGTCTAGTCCAGGAGACACCAGACTCCTGGACTAGAACAAAACCTGAAGTTAAGAACTTGCATATGAATACCAATCTAAACGATGAGTTGGAGGGAGACTTATTTAAAAGCTTTTATTTCTGTGCTATCACAGTTTTTACTGGTTTAAGATGTTCACTTTTCTTGTTTGTGATATAATGAGATCCAGCATTGGACTTCACAGGCCCAGTGTCCATGCTGTCATCTGAAGGGACCTGGGCAGGCTAGAGAATGGGGAAAGGAGGAATTTCATGATCCTCAAAAAGTTCATGAGATGCAACATTCTACTTCTGGGGAGGAATGGACCTGGACCCTCTGCTGGCCTCTTTAAAAACTTTGTGAGGTGATTTTAGCAAGTTTTGTCCAATCCCATACAGTGACATTGTGGGTAGTGTAGGTGAGCCAACAGAAATCCAGTATATTCAAATCTGCTTCAGATATGTGCTTTGTTGTTTTCCAGTAATGCATAGATCTAACATAGATCCATGTTTTTTGGAATAGTATTCATTAAAATGAGGTTGGTCAGCTGCCTTAAAGATTCATTACTTCACTGATGCATAGGGTTGCACTATGTACATAAGAAAAAATGTATATAATTTCATGAACTTTCTACCTGGACTGCATAATTTCTGCATCATTTAAAACTTTGAAGTGTCTCATATGTAGTAATTGTCTTAGTGCTATTCCATTCATTTTGTGTATGGCACTTACTGGTATGTGTACAGATACATCTCTGTCTTATGTGATAATTTAAAGACATGCACTGATGCAAAAGGGGCCTGCTTTTGTTGAGAAGTATAACATAGACATTAGAGAATTCTGTTAACTTGCAGTTGCTGAGGGTGAATGTGTAGCTGTTTTGTTTGCCAAGAATGACTTGCTGATCATCTTCAGAGCTTTTTTTTTCAACTGGTTTAATTAGGAGTTGGATGCAAAAATACTTAGGTACAGCTTTTGATCCCTAAATGAAGATAATTCATGGCCATTTTAAACACATTCAAGCGTCACTCCCTTCCTGTAAATTTAACCATACACTTAGAAATGTAGCCAGATTTTGCCTGCATCTTTGTAAAATAATTAAAAAGTTGATTGAGTGAAGATCTGTAAGAAAAGAAGAAGGAATAGAAAGAGGTTAGCTGAGGAATTACTGGCATAGAAGCAGGATGTGTCAGGAGTATATGAAGTATTGTTTATATCAGAAGAAAGGAAGGAATAAATTTATATTATGTATTTTTAAATATTACCTCCATTGACTACCAAGGATAGCGTTAAAAACACTTATTTAAAACTTGCTTGTTTTTTTAGGTTTCTTAACCTCTTAAATTACTTAAAGCAGGAGCCTTTCTGAAAATGTAACTTTTGGTTTTTATCAGATACTGAATCTTAATCACACCTAGGAAGAAGTGCACATACTGAGATACAGTGCATACAGACCCCAGTTGGGAATTGGCCTATGTGCCAGTCACTGCATCAGTGCAGAGAGACTGCACTGGTTTTTCTTCAAAGAGGAAAAGAGACAGGTTTTTCTTCAAAGAAATTGTTCTAAAAGAAAATGTTTGCATTTGTTTTCTGTTATCAAATTTCCACAAACTTTCAATTGTCCGCATTCTTGTTGAATGTTTTGCTGCCTGATTTTTGAGCAGTGAGATATAGATGAAATTAATACTTTGGACATTTTCTATTTCATTTAACAATATATTGCATGCCCAACTTCTCCATGTGGTCTGAAAAAATTACTAGCTATTACTTTCTCTTCTAAACTAGCTGTGGAGAGTAACTATTAAATACCACTTTTAAACTAATGCTAGTAGTCCTGATGTCTGAATGGGAAATTAAACTGTTAAATTGGTGTTCCCTTTGGCAAATATGTTACAATCTTACCAAAACAGTGATTGGTAAGTAATCTGAATTTTACATGTGCAAAATACCTCTTGCATAGTTTTATCTCTTTCATTATGTGTGTTTATGACCTTGGTGAACAAATTTTTTCTCTGATTAGTTACAGAGGTTACGACTGTCGAAGTAATTTATTTTACACTCAGACGGGTGAAATTGTATACCACGTGGCAGCGGTGGGAGTGGTGTACAACCGACAGCAGAACACACAGCGCTTCTATCTGGGTCACGATGATGACATTCTTTGCCTTGCTATTCATCCCTTAAAGGACTACGTGGCAACAGGCCAGGTAGGATGCATGTTTATCTGCTATAACAATCTGAAGTTTTTACTACTGAATTTAGAAAGGCCTGTCTTGGAGGAAGAATGTTCAGTCTATACTTATTCAGGTAAAGGACTGCTTTTCTGTTGCAGATGGAATCATGGTAAAAAATTTACACAATAAGTGTTTTTTACAGTTCTTTATATTCTGATAAGAGTTTTAGTTCCTCATTTTTTTAAATTCAGAATAGATTAATATTTTTTTTTATTCATCATTATGTTGCTGTTTCATGATAAGGTGGAAGAAATGTGCAATTAAGAAATACTTTTTTAGTATCTTATTTTCTATTATTACATTCATGTATTATTATATAATAGGAAGTTAGTGGTTGTTATTACAGTCTGGCATTTCATTTTCATGTTATATGTTTTGTTATCACCTATAGACAAACTATTTAGTGTTTGTGCATACAACACAGTTATGTATGTTGCTAAAGTTCATTTTATAGTACTAATAATAGTTTATTTTATCTTTTGCCAGACAGTAACTTTAGGTAAATTCTTTTCACTCTTGTTTTCTGACAAGTGTTCCCATAAATATTTATAAACTGGGAATCTGAAGGTTTAATCTGATGTTTCAAGGGGGTTTATTTATTGTTATCACTTTTGTCATTGTTGTTGTTATTACTATTATAAAATAAATTGGGAAACATAAACTGAGGTTTTTAAATAGAAATAAACTTTTGCTTATGATGCCCTTGATTTCTGTAAAAATGTTTGAGATTAACATAATTCTATAGGTCAGTTAGGAAATTAAAGCCCTAAATATAAGAATTGATTTTATCTAATTTTGGAGTAGTAAAGGCTATGAATAAAAATGTCCCTGGATTTACAATATTTTAAAATACTTTTTGCTATTAACAGAATGATACACTCCATTATATACTGTTTTATATATAGATATTATATACTGTTGTATATTATATTACCTGAAGAATTTAGGTACTGCAGTAATCAAATTCCCCATACCACACTGGTTCAGATTTTCCTGGTAATGGATATTCTGAAAAGCTTTGTAAATATCACATACTAAGTTTGTGACAAAACTAGAAATAGATCCTAGTTTTTTTGAGCCCTGCCCCTGGTCTTAAACACAAGAGACTGTTGCTCTGGTTTTACAATATTTTTTTTGGTGCACTGAGGTGCAAAACCTTTGGAATAGTAATTATTCTTGTAAATACTGACTTATAATGCATTTGTACATAGTTAAAAAGAATATTCTATATTCAATTTCTTACCAAGTTACCTATGTTAGTGCCATTTTAGTGGCACCATTAGAATCTGACCTGTAGACACCTGTACTGACACCAGTAAGCAACAGAAGTCACCTTGATTCCTTCAAGGTAGAGTAGCTTACATACTAGCAACAAAAATAACATTTTATTTTTAGACAGGGAATGATTGATGAAGAATTGATGGAATAAATATGCCACAGTGCAATCAATGAAGGGCTTTTTTTTTTTTTTAACAAGAAGGCTTTAGCTAATTGTGATTAGTGTTCCTAAGACAGCTGGCACATGGTATTTGTGAAGCAGCAAGAGGAACAATGTACTGCTAGCCAGACAACAGGAATACTAGGAAAACTTTATCACTAAATTTTTTCAAATACTTTTTGAAGTATTTTTCATTATTATGCTTTTTATCAACTGTGTGAAGTAACTGAGAAATGAAAAAAAAAAGGTTATGAATATGTATACTTTCAGGTTGGTCGAGATCCCTCAATACACATTTGGGATACAGAAACAATAAAACCACTCTCAGTATTAAAGGGCTATCACCAGTACGGTGTTTGTGCTGTTGATTTTTCAGGTAATAAGTATTTATTTATTTATTTACACTTTTCCTTTTCTGTGTGAAAATACAAGCTAATCAATTCTACTGAGCAATTTTGGATTCCTTTACACTGTAGACTGTGTGTTAAAAATATTCTGTGGTGTTAAATATCAAATGAAAGAGCCTGTCTTAAAGTGATTATTCATTAAAAAAAGCTCCTTTGGAATCTTGCACATAGGAAATACAAGAACAGATTTTGTGCCATTTAACAGCTGAGCAGAGCACTTTGGAATTTCTTGTGGTTGTACGATGCAGGTGCACAGATCTTGAGTGTTGTGTCTGCTTTACAACTGTGTAACCAATTTTTGAGCACATTGATCAGGTGTGCAATTTTTTTTTTTTTTTTTTAATGAAATCCTGAAAGCCATTTGGGTAGCACACTGATGCATTCAGAAAGTCCACTTATGCATTCTTCTGGTCAGAAACCTTGTCTCTCTCTCCACTTTATCCTAATGTAAGAGACTATCAGTTAAATCCTTTGAGATTTTTACACCCTATACATTGAATTCCTGTAGCAATATTAAATTTCCTCTGGTCCACTGGCTTCTATTCATTTTTTAATAGTTTGGATTTACTGGATAGAATATCTAGACTCACAGTGAAGATGTGTGATCACAAAGATGAGTACTTTGTGGTCTTTGATGCTTCTTACTTTTGATACTCCATTTTTCAAGATGTGAATCTTGTTTCCCAAATTTTGGCATGGATGTTTAGCAATTTTGAAGATGGATACATGTCAGAAAGTCATTGATCATGAGTGAACACAAATAGCTTGTTTATTGGAGGTTAATGTGGAATATGTGTCAGAGCTTCTCCAAGACTTCAAATTTAAGGGCATTTCATAAATTTCATGATATTGCTTGAGTGCTTTCCTGTTTAGTAAACAGATGACAAGACATGCTTAAAAATGCATCATATGATTATTTACTTGTTTGTACGTTCTTCTTATAATATTTGTGAAGCTATAATATTTTTAACATGGTTTCTTATAATTGCAACATAGTTATCTATCTACTCTCTTAATAATAAATTTATTTTTCTAGCGGATGGGAAACGATTGGCTTCTGTTGGAATAGATGACAATCACACTATTGTACTCTGGGACTGGAAGAAAGGAGAAAAGCTTTCAGCAGTAAGGTAGGAATTTAACTATGTTTTAAAATTTGTACCTAGATTTACTTTCAAGTGTCAGTAAGCAAAATATATTCATTAAAGAATAAAAGTTCTCTAATAAATTAGCAGTTTCTATCACTTGAGTGATACAGACAATAATATTTATCAAAGCCTTAAAAGTTTCTTTGGAAGAAATAAATGAAACTCTGATAGTCAACAGGAATTACTAGGGTGACAACTCCACTGGTGAAGAAAGAAGACATGGAAGACAAAGTTTATTTATGCTTATTTAATTTGATGCATTCTGAAATAATTTTTTTAAAGCTCACTCTATGTACTTCTGTTTGCGTTCTCAAAGATAGTGATGTAAGTTCTGTTCAGATCTTTTTCATCAGAGGTCATGTCTTTCTTAGGATAGTAATCTGAAGTTGTTTTGCAGAGTTCTTTTTTCTTCAGGTTTCTTTCCTTTTCTGAGCAGACTGATCTAACTTTGAAGTCAGGTCTGCTTGGAGCAGGAAATTGGACTAAATAACTTCCAAAGGTTAAATATTTTGGAAGTTTCTTTGTGTCTGCAAAGCTTGTTTAATATCTGTTTATTAAATGGAGTTTTAATCTACAAGATAGAATCTTATTTCTAATTTTAAGTAGTGTTTTTGAAACCTTCGACTTTGGGTTTTTTTAAGGATTTATTGCTTTAAATAGAGTAGTAATGTGAGAGGTTTTTTCCCCATTCTGTCTGGATTCAGTTCATATACTCTAAATGTTGTTCTACATAGATTTAAAAGAGATTTATTACTCTCTGCAGATACAATTTAAAAAGTGTCAACTTCCTTTTTATCTGTTAAGGTCATTATTGCTCTTCAATGACATTAACTATCATTTTATTTTAAAACGTGCATGGAATTTCTTACCCACTGAGGAATGAAAACCCTGAATACATGATGTACAGAAAGAAGAGTACTCCCTTCCCAATTATTTTTCAGAAGCCCAGTTAGGTGGCTTCTTTGAAGACTTATTTGTCAGCCTTTCACCTGATATTTTCATTTTCAGATTTTGGGTTTGGTTTTGTTGGGGTTTTTTTGTTTGTTGTGGGGTTTTTTTGTTTTGTGTGTTTTTTTGTTTTTAATTTCTCCTACCCACACAAAGGAATTAATTGGAATTTTTGAGAGCAGCATCTCTACTTTGAAGATGACTGATTTTGGAAAGAAACTGTTTCCTGTTTTCTGCACTAGTTCATTCTGTGGTCTGAAACAGCAGACAATATAAGATTTTTGCCGCTTTTGAATGAGGAGCAAAAGTTCTTCTGCATTTTAAAGAAAGAAAACAACCTACTAGTAAACATTTCTTTCCATAAATAGCAAACATAGTTGAAAGTTGTTTTTCAAACTACAGGATTGAAGCAAGACATTAGTTTTGTAGAAGCATAGTAAGAAATCTAAAACAAGAAGTTTTAATGTTTTTAGAAACAACTGAAATTTCCATTTAAGAAATATAATAGCATCGTATGTTTAATTCTAACAAAAATGTAAAAAAATCAATTAAAAGGTGTTTTTAAAACAAGAGACTTTGAAATAAGATTTACAACTTTACTCCTTCAAGTTTCATTATGAGCTGCCAGAGATTTAAATGCCATATACCTAAACTTAATGCAAATATATTTTGTTTTGCAAAGAAAATGTGTCCTATTGCATCTGTGAAGTAACATAATTGCTCACCTGCTTTGGAGACTGAAGGGTAATGAAAATAGAATGGGACTCAGTATGTTGGTTCTTTGGCTTTCTTCCTTCTCATAGTAAACTATTGTTAATGATTTGAAAGTAAATGTTAGCAATATAGGGCAGGTATAAATTAAGAAAAAACTCACAAATCAAAGCCTATTTAAATATATTAATAGTTATATTTTTATTTAAATTATTTTATTTTGTATTTCAGGGGAAGCAAAGATAAGATTTTTGTGGTTAAGATTAATCCTTACATGCCTGATAAATTGATTACAGTTGGAATTAAACACATGAAATTCTGGCGTAGAGCAGGTAAGGACACTTTTCAGAATTACAACATTTTCTGTTACTTAAAGTATAAATATTGCATCACTTTACTGCATGTTTCGTACATTAAAGGCAAGTGTTTTCTCTGTATATGTCAGTTAACTTTGCAGTTAACTTTAGCAGTAATAATGTTAATTTGCATTATGGCAGTAGTGGGAATTCTTTTTAAGATCATTTTCCTGTGGAGCCAGAGCTATATAAGTGGATAAGACCTTGGATTTTCTACTGTCTGATTTTATATCTGGTAATAATATAGCATGTCTGAAAAGGTTTCAGAGCTGCTCTAAAATCATAGAACAGTTTTTGGTAGAAAGACCTTTACAGCACATACACTATGAAGAGGCACAATATATATAAATTTAAGGTTATAAAAAATTTGCATTAAAAATTCAGACAAAGTACTTGAAGACGATACATCTGCCAGTTGAGCTGTTTGTCTAGACACTTCTGTTGAATTTGACAATTAAAAAGCAAGGTAAAGCAGCTGGCTATTTCTGCTTGAGCAATTTTGAACAGTGAAAAATCCATTCCCTGATATTTGTGTGAACTTCATTGTTTCAAACCTCAAATTCTATCTAAAGACATATGTGCTACAGAAGACTAGCTTATCTGCTGAGCATGTTCTAGTTATTCATGCAGAATTTATGCACATCGACTGACATGAGTCCTTACAAAGATTAATTGTGGAGAGAAAAGTCTGTGACAAAAAAATCACACTGGTTTTCCCAGTTCTGGCCCCAACAAAAATTAATCAAGATTGCCTGAGAGCAAGCTGTTGATGTCTATATAAATTATTAATTTTGACAATTGAGCTTGCTATCTATAGAAAGAACACAGTGTCTCAGAATATTTACTGAATGAGTTACTATAAATTCTTTAGAAACAAATCCTAACTATGCTGAAAGCTTGGAGATGGTGATTTTGAATAAAGAAAGGAAATTGTTTAAAATGGTAGTTTTCTCTCTGGCATTGCTTAGTCATCAGGAATCAAATTTCTCTGATGCTGCAGCCCATCTGTGCAAAACTCCAGTGGAACACTGGCAAGGCAGTCACCGTGAAATGCACTTCGCAGTGTCAGTGTGAGGAGAAGAGTATCAGTGTACCTTAACAAATGCCAGGTTTCTGGAATCTACAGTAGAGCAGGTGCACTTGATGTGAGAAGTGACACTGAAGTATATATATATTATATATATATTTATATATATAAAATTGTCATCAGTGCCAAGTGAAGGCAGAGAGGTTCCAAACTTCTCTCAGAATTGTGACAATATAAATCTGACTTTCTAGCCAGAAGTTACTATGTGTTATATTTGTCAAATGATTTTAGATATGAAAGAATTATAAAATTTACATATCTGTAACATTTCTATTATCCAGAGGGCAATATAAGTAAATCTCTAAAATAAAATTAGAAATCATCTCACTGAAAACATATAATGAAAATGGTGGTATGTTAAGGTTTTTAATTTTTTTCTTTCCATTTAATTTATTCCTAATTTCTATGAACTATGTATGGAAGATGTTAGTTTTTTTGTTCAGATGCAAGTTTACAAATGCACTGTATCTTCATATGTCTATGTGGGTATATGTGTGTATACACTCAAATTCAGATTCAAGTAGTAGGTTAAAAGTAAGTGGGTTTTTTTGTGAAAGTTACCAAGTAATATAAAAATTTAATTGTGTGAGAACTCTTCTCAGGCTCAATTTTTTGGGGAGCATGTGTGGACCAGAAGAAAAGGACCTGTTGCTCTGGGCAAGGTTGTATAGTTTCTGGAAGATAATTCTAAGCAAATATCTGATGACTTGTTTTTGGTCTGAACCAGGTGGAGGACTAATTGGGAGAAAGGGCTGCATAGGTGCATTGGGAAGAACTGATACAATGATGTGTGCAGTATATGGCTGGACTGAAGAGATGGCGTTCTCTGGAACTTCCACGGGGGATGTGTGTATTTGGAGAGATGTGTTTCTCATAAAAACTGTCAAAGCACATGACGGTCCTGTGTTCAGCATGCACGCACTAGAAAAAGTAAATAAACTACTTGTTGGTTTTTTATGTCTGGACAAAAAATTCTCTTTCCCAAACCCAGGAATCCATGTCCTTATTTCCATTACAGAAAAGCCTTGTGGGGTCCAGATTCAAAATAGAGTCTTAGGCATGTCTCTTACTCCTGTTACGTAGAAGCTGTTTCTCAAATCCTTGTGGTCCAGTGACATCTTGTTCAGTAATTTTCATAAACCCTTACTAAAGAAATAACAGTAACTGCTTTAAGTGTCCATAAGTTTAATGGAATATGTGAGCTTGTGAGAAAGGAAGAAGATCGTACTTTCTACTACTTTGTGCTGTAATTACTGTCTCCTCATAGAAGCATTCAATCTGTGAATCATTAAGTACTTCTACTGATTCTCAGCTTCTTTTAGCTCAGCAGAGCCTTTAAGCATGTGCTTAAATGTGAATGAGTGTTCCAGTTAGATTACTTGTATGTTCAAACTTATGTATATGTTTGTGTTTTGTTAGGTTAGACCAAGGCACTCCACCTCCCAATATTTGAATTTCAGTATAGTAGTGTTGAACAATGCATGTGTTTTTCATACTGCAAGAACTAAACGCTCTTAAGGGAAGTGCTAATGATTTCAGTATTAAGTATACCTGTTGCTTCACTGAATACCTGTGAATAGTTTTTAAAGACAGAATGGCTCAAATATACATATATTGGAATCATTTAAGCACTAATCAAATTTCTGTGAGCGGTACTGAGTTTGATTTGGAGTAATGAGGTGAAATGCCAAAAGGATATGGAGGCTAAATATCAGGAAAAACACTTTATAGGATGCTGATTAAATTATTTTTCTAGAATGGTAGAAGCATACAGCCTCAGTACGTTGACTGTACAGAACTGTGCTACTTTCATCAGGAGGAGAAATCAATAATTTTCTTACTCCTATTCTTTTCATCTCTAACATCTGTAGCCCTGTGCATTACAGCGTTGTATAGAGTCCATTTTCAGTATTTGCAGAAATCACTGAAAAATTAAGGAAAGATAGTTATTGATTATAACTCCTGATTATTTCTTTTTTCCCTCCCAGGGATTTGTCACTGGAGGAAAGGATGGGGTAGTAGCTCTCTGGGATGATACTTTTGAACGTTGTCTCAAAACCTATGCCATCAAAAGGGCTGCTTTGGCCCCTGGGTCTAAAGGTAACACACTTTTATTCTATTTAAAGTCCTTTCTTTAGAAGACTTGGTGGAATTGCTGTCCTCAGTAGGAAGAAATCCACATTCAATGTAATAAAAATAATAATGGCCAGTCTTCACGAGCGAAGATCCGGGGAAGGTCTTTACACCTTCCAGCCTGCGCATTGGATTTTTTAGGTGAGACACAGTGTGCGCGGAACTGAGCCCACCCTTTAATCCTAAGGTTCATCTGCCGGGGCCAAGCGAGCTTGGACGGTGGCAGTGAGGTCCTCAGGACGTAGATGGATTGCCTTTAAGGGCTAACGAGCTCCATCAGTCCGGGAGTGGCCCTGACCGGGAATCGAACCCGGGCCTCGGTGGTGACAGCGCCGCGCCTTTACCACTAGACCACCAGGGGCTCCTGTACATTCAATGTAGCGAATACTAAAATGGCTTTTTGAGTGTTACTGATTCTAAATACATTGTTTTTCTCTTGGGATGGGAATCCTATGTTGTAGCGTCTGTTTGCACATTTGATGGGTGCAGATCATAATATTTACCTTATTATCAACCTAAATTAATTAAGCTTTGAGTTTCTCATCACCCAGGAGATTTTTTTTAATTAAAGTTACAACCAAAAAAGCCTATTATATTTCTTGTGTTTCTGATCATGAAGTGTCTTATCTGATCTTTTTTGTTTTGAAGAAAGGAAGAAATTTAGAATTTTGGGTTTTAAAGGTATTGGTACTTAATTTTCTGTAAATGTAAATGTCTTTTGAAATAATTAATGAACATTTTCATTTCCATTTTTCCTATTTCTACCATTCATTCTTGATCTTACTGTTCCCCTATTTGTCATTTCAGGTAGCCATTTCTCTTCCATTCCCTTCATTACAAATTATGTTTGCTGAGTTCTAATGTATATGACTTGATTTTCAAACATCATGAATATGAATACTTATTAATGAAAACATTGTACTCCAGGGTATCTTATTCTCATAGGTGTTTTATAAAAAGCTAGACTTGAAGTTACTGTAAATCCTAGCAGTTTAGTAGTGTAGTTGACACATGCACATTTTTTCACTAAGATTGCCAGTCAGGCTGATTAAACTTCTTGATATATCGCTCAATACTCCCAAAGGAATACAAACATATAAGCTGTTCCATGCAGGAATATGTTTTTACTGATTACTACTGAGTATCTTTTTCTACAGTGAGAATGGAATGTGCATATGTGTGAAAAATCCTCTTTAAGGCATACTTGAGAATCTCCTGTCTTCCAACACTTTTATGTTCTAGGTCTCCTCTTAGAAGATAATCCTTCTATACGTGCCATATCATTAGGACATGGTCATATTTTAGTGGGCACAAAGAATGGTGAAATATTGGAGGTGGATAAAAGTGGACCAATAACTCTGCTGGTTCAGGTATATGTTAAATATCAGTCAAATATTTCATACCACAAACATAATTTTATTTTTCAAGTAAAAGCCTATGAAATAACAAACACTTTAATTACTAATGAGGTTAATGAGTTACCATCACTTCTAGTTAGGCTAGACCATTATGACTCTTCAATGAGCAAAATAGAAATAGGATTTCATTTACTATTTTGTTCAATGAGTTCATCCTTTCAAACAGGCAGAGATCAAATACCTGTTTAAAAAAAAAGTGTGTGAAACAGTGGATCTTCCACTGAATTATTTATTAACTTTTTCTGAGTCCTAATTACTGCTATTATGTTTACAGGTTTTCTCCTTGAGGTTGTTATTAGATTTTATTTGTAATTATGTAAAAAACATTTCAGTCTTCTTTGCCATACCAAACAGCTGCATTTCTTAAGCCTGTCGTACAAAACAGGTTTTTACATTGTATCAATCTATGATTTTCTTTCAAAGTCAAACAAACTCTGCATTATCTCCATTCTGAGTGGCCAGTGCAATAGTTAAAGAACTAGCTTTATTTTAAAAAAATACTAGAACCTAAGGTAAAGAAAAAAACCTAATTCATAGAGTAGTCTGGGTTGGAAGGGACCTTTAAAGGCCATCTTGTCCAAACCCCCTGCAGTAAGCAAGGACATCTTCAAATAGTTCAGATTGTTAGGAGCTCCATCCAATCTGACCTTGGATGTTTCCAGGACTTGGACATCTGTCACCTCTCTAGGCAACCTCTTCTGGTGTTTAACCACCCTCATCATAAAAAATTTCCTTATATCTAGTCTGAATCTACCCTCTTAGTTTAAAACCATTACCCCTTGTCCTGTTGCTACAAGCCCTACTAAAAAGTGACCCCATCTTTCTCATAAGCCCCTTTTAAGTACTGAGAGAGTTTGATAAGATTTCCTCAGAGCCCTCTCTTCTCCAGGCTGAACAACCCCTACTGTCTCGGCCTTTCTTCATAGGAGAGGTGCTCCAGCCCTCTGACCATTTCTGTGGCCCTCCTGTGGACCCAGACCAACAGGTCCCTGTCTTTCTCATGCTGAAGACTCCAGAACCAGATGCAGTACTAGAGTCTCACCAGAATGGAGTAGAGGCAGAATCACCTCCCTGACCTGCTGGTCACATTTCTTTTAATGCAGCCCAGGTCACAGATGGCTTTCTGGGCTGTGAGTCCACATTGCTGACTCTTGTCCAGCTTCTTGTCCACCAAATTCCCAAATCCTTCTCCTCAGGGCTGCTCTCAGTCCATTCTCTGCCCAGCCTGTATTTGTGCTTGGGATTGCCCTGAGCCACGTGCAGGACCTTGCACATGGCCTTGTTGAGCTTCATTGCATGGGTCCACCTGTCACACCTGGTCAAAGTCCCTCTGGACTACATCTCTTCTCCTCCAGCATGTTGATCACATCACATCTCACAGCTTGGTGTTATCAGCAACTAGCTGAGGATGCACTCAGTCCTACTGTCCATGTCATTGACATAGGTGTGTATGACGATTATTTCTCAGAAACGGTCTTCTGTAGTACTAATTCCTATAATTTGCACAGTAACTGCAAGAAGCAGAGTGAATTTTTTCAGGTGTTCTGTATTTCTATTAAGATATTCATTATCCTCTAAAGAGATGCATGTTCTCTCTGTCTCTTTTTTAAAACTTCCTTAAACGTATTAGTTCATATTTCAATTTAAAATAAAAATTAATCTGATTCATTGTGTTTTTTCAGGGTCACATGGAGGGGGAAGTTTGGGGTCTAGCTACTCATCCTCATTTACCTATTTGTGCCACTGTAAGTGATGACAAAACCTTAAGAATATGGGATTTATCTCCTAGCCATTGTATGTTAGCTGTTCGCAAATTGAAAAAGGGTAAGATGCTTAGTATGAAAAAATATTTAACTGATTCAGTTGACATTTACAAACATTATGAAGCTTTCAAAAGCAGGACTGAATAAATTCCTTTCTTTGCTCAAATTATTTTATTAATACTATGCTCAGGAGTTATGTGAAGCTAATTAATCTGTACAGAAAAAATCCTGTGTAGTACTGTTCTGGAGATTATTTGCAATTGTAACATATTTAAATTGAGCCAATTATATAAATGCGACATTGCTTATAGGATTGCAAAGTGAAGGACTTTGAATTAGAAATTTTTGGAAGAAATCTTTGACATAATGTTCTCTTCTTTGTGAATGTTAGAAGAATCATGAATGTCAAGTAAAGGGAAAAATCATAAAATTTTGACTCATTGTTTACTATATAACTAAATTCTATTTTGACAGATGGCAAGTTGTAAATGACATCATATAAGGTGACTTTTTTTAGGATTAGACCAGACTGGCCTTAACAATCTTGTAATGATATATATGATTTGCTAGACATAGGAATACAATAGGCTTTATCTGTTTGGCATTCAGCAATCTGGTTTGATTCTAATATAACAGGAAGCTTAGTGGAGGACTATTTAGATTGATAAAGTAAATGTAAGAGGAGGCACGAGCTAGCACAAGCAGAGATTAAGCAAGAAGTTTCTAGTGGGCAAACTTTGCATAAGTCTTAAAGCTTATATTTCTTAATATTTTTAAGAGCACTTTTGGCAAAAAAAGTATAAGTCTGTGATGACTTTATTTGCTGATGAGACACATTTTGAGGTGCTTTGGCAATATTAAAAGGTTCCTGTGTACTGTACAGAAAGAGGTGGATAGTTCTGCAGACTACAGTAATGAAATAAAATTGAATTGACTTCAGAATGGAAATAATATTTGATAATTAAAAAGGCAAGATCGATTCAAGAAAAATTTCTGCATAGCTCAGGCATAACTAAGGAGCAAAAAGCTCAGGATGTTGTAACTAGTTGCAGGATGACAATTACATGTTCCAAGACATGCTGGAATATTCATGTAATTTACAAGACACAAATCAGGATATTTTTGGTGTACGTTTCTCATCTGTGTTCAGCTGAATGAAATTAAACTAGAAGCTGAGGATGGAGAAGAGCTACAGAGAATGAGAAGCTTTGTGGTGAAACCATCTAAATGAAGTATAGCTGTCTACAAGTTAATCAGAGAAACAAATAGGAAGGGAAAATATTTATGGTAATGGAAAATTCAGGCATGAAAACAAGTCTACATAAGCTGACCATATATAAATTTAGATTGGAAATTAAACTGTTTTTCAAATGACACTTGACATGTTTATTGGAAGGATTTTATGACCTAGTGACTAAGCATTTCTGATAGTAAATGAGTGGATTCTGGGAGTCCAGAAGATCTTTTCCAGCTGTGCTCTCCTTACCAAAGCAAATGGTAACAACCAACCAGTGCCAGATACTAAGAAAGAGAGCAAACTAAAAATGCACAGACAATACTGTTTAATCCGTATTGCTAATGTAGAACATATGTCAATTAATATGCCAATAAATGTAATTTAATATTCTGGGCATGTATACCTGTTGATTTGCCAATAACTTCTGTGTGCTACTGCAGTTTGGAAATTATCTTGGCAGCATCAGAAAAACATCCTTGGAAGTTTTTACTATAGTAATACTTTTCCTTTACTAATGGAAAAATAGATCTAAAAGAAGGATAATGCACTGTAAATTGAACCTCAGTGCCATTTCTGTATTCCTCACAGGAGGCAGATGTTGCTGCTTTTCTCCTGATGGAAAAGCATTAGCTGTTGGTCTCAATGATGGAAGTTTTTTGATAGTTAATGCAGATACCCTGGAGGATCTAGTCTCTTTCCAGCACAGAAAAGATGTTATTTCAGAGATACGATTTTCTCCTGGTAAGTGCAATTTTTTTTAAATGAAGATTTTTATATCAAGGTTGTTAAAGCGAGCTTTATCACATTTAAAGGTAATAGAGATTTGTAGTACTCTTCTACATGTAATAAATAGGTCAGCAAAGCTAATGCTGTCATTTTGAAAAACACTGGTGGTGAAGTCCCGTGTTGCTCATTTAAGGATGAGATTATTGGAGTAAGTTTGCTCATGAATGCAACAGTCAGTTTAAATCATGAACTCATGATTTAACCTCCCTAGGTCCCAAGGGTTCCACTTCATGAGCTGCATCGATTCCTGTTAGCTAATGGGAATGTTGTAAACTGATGTATCAGAAAGTTCCAGCGACTTCTGTTTTCTTATTTTTATCCTCTACAGTGCTTAGCACTCCCAGTGAGTCTCGATTTTTTTCCAACAGGACAGCTCTTATTTAAGAACTCAAATGTATGGCTTACTTCAGTTAAAATACTTATCTCTAGGAGAAATTTGGTGCAAATTACTGATACCAATTCTCATGCACCATTATGTTGTGGTTCCCAAAGCCTTACCACTCTCTGAATGCAATAAATGTTTAAAATTGCATCAAGTGGTTTTTATTATTTGAAAATGTAATGATATAATAGTTGTATATTTCATCCTGATTTTGATTATGTGATATGAACATCAATCTGTTGGGAAATATGTATAACTTAGCAAGCTGATTTCAAAGAATTCTAGGTTGCATATAGCTAAATTCTAGAATTTACTTGTGTTTGATATACCTAGAAATACAATTTTTGAAAATGTTTTGTGTTTGTACTGATGTTGTTTTAGGGGCTGGAAAGTACTTGGCTGTGGCATCCTGTGACAATTTTGTAGATATTTACAATGTAATGAGTAGTAAACGAGTAGGAATCTGCAAGGGAGCCTCCAGCTATATCACGCACATGGACTGGGACATAAGAGGTAAGTAGCGTTCATTGTAAAAATGTACTGGGAGACTGATTACATCATAGACTAAATGCAGTACATCTACACTATGATTTTGTGGTATCGCTGACAGATTTTTTCCTTCAGTTTATGAATATGTTCACAGCATCTGAATAAATATTAAACCCATGATTTTTGCCACTACTTATATATTAAGGGGGAGCCCCTGGTGGTCTAGTGGTTAAGGGCGCGGCGCTGTCACCGCCCGAGACCCGGGTTCGATTCCTGGTCAGGGCCACTCCCGGGCAGGTGGGGCTCGTTAGCCCTTAAAGGCAACCCATCTACGTCCTGAGGACCTCGCTGCCACCGTCCAAGCTCGCTTGACCCCGGCAGATGAACCTTAGGATTAAAGGGTGGGCTCAGTTCCGCGCACACTGTGTCTCACCTAAAAAATCCAATGCGCAGGCTGGAAGGTGTAAAGACCTTCCCCGGATCTTCGCTCGCGAAGACTGGCCGTTATTATTATTATTATTATATTAAGGAGTTGCGTAATTTGAAGTAAAATAGTTTAGTTTCTATAGTTTAGTTTGTTTGGATTTCTTTTTAAATCTTTCTTGTTTATTGTTTGACTTCACAAGGGCATGTAGTAATAGAACAAGGAGGAATGGCCTTAAGCTGAAGGAGGGTAGTTTTAGATTAGATATTAGGAAGAAATTCATTACTGCAAGGGTGTTGAGACACTGGAACCAGCTGCCCAGAGAGGTTGTGGATGCCCCATCCCTGAAGGTGGTCAAGGCCAGGCTGGATTGGGTTCTGAGCAACCTGGTGTAGTGGTGGGGGGATGGAACTGGTTGATCTCTAAGGTCCCTTCCAACCCAAAACATTCTATGATTCTGTGGTTCTACTTCATTAATAATATACTGTATAATGTGGTTGTGTCTGGAGCTCAGGAATATGTATCCTTTTTGTCAAACATAGCAGAAGGACTGGATTTCCAGTCTTCCTGGGTAATAATGGATGATTAATTTAAATGCTAAATTTAGTCTTGTTGCATTCAAAACCAAGGCTGTGCAATTGTGAATCTATTAGTTCCCATTGTTATTCCTCTATATAATAACTTTTGAAACAGTCTGATTTAATTTGAAAGAGTGTTAAAAATTAACTTTCTCTGAGAATTTTGAAAAGAGGAAGAGGACATTGGTGAAAATTTCCCTCAGAAATGGAGCAGTATTAAGGCAAGCAGGAGTCACCTGCTTGGAAGCAGCCATTGGCCAGGCAGCATATGTGCTTCACCATCCCAAGGGCACACACATCATCAGCCAGTTATCATAAGCAAGCTTTGAATTAGACCCAGTACATTTTGTCTACCATCTGATGGGACAACCATAAAAAGGAGAGAAAAGTGATGCATGACTACATTTTTCAAAGAGAGGAGAAAGGGTTATGAGTTTAAGGGATCAAAGGACTTAGATCTCTTTAGACCACCATACTTCCAGATCCATTATTTATGTATGCAACTTTTTCCAAAATAATTTATGTAATGCTGCTAGCAACAAAAATTTCAAAATAACCTTTTTTATGGGATCTTCTATTTAATGTTAACATACAATATGTAATATGTTTTATAGGAAAACTCTTGCAGGTCAACACTGGTGCTAAAGAGCAGTTGTTTTTTGAAGCCCCTCGTGGGAAAAAACAGACAATTCCTACTTTGGAGGTAAGGAACTGTACCACCTTTCTAACTTGTTTGTAAATTAGAGTTATGAAACAGCCATAAGAGAGTATGAAACATACATAAGAGGGAATGATGTATAAAACAATAATTTTTAACTGGTCGGTTGAAAAAGCTTCTGTTTCAGCATTCGCTGACCTTTATTCCCTTTTTTAGCCTGTTCAAATAGATAATGTAACCAGAATGATAAAATACGTAGGGGATATCACATTTGTCTCTTCTGTTAAGTGTGACTTAGTCGTGAAAATCTCACTAGATTTCTGTGTGCCTTCTCTGGTACATAAACACCTCTGAAAACTGCAGATTAGTGAGCCCTAACCCTGCTGTGGAAAACATCATGTCTCTCTTTACATAACAATGCAATATAGCATACATAATACATATAGGCAAGGGTAGTATATTGTAGCTATAATATTGTTTTGTTTTCTCAGAGATAGAGCATTGTCATAGGGCAGAGAGCATAAATGGATTGTTTTCAAATAATATTTTCCATGAGATTGAAAGGCAGTATTAGAAAATGCAATTTTTTTTCTTTAGACTAGAAGGGCAGGTAAGGTAAAAATTTTTAAAATACTTCTTTAGATTTTGGAACTTAAAGTTAATAGAGGTAAAATTACAGGTCTCAAATGAAATGCTGAATAATAAGAAAATAAGTGATTAATATGTAAAACATCATATCCTTCAGGCATGATGTATCTTTCAGTGAATGGACTTTTACTTGAAATCAGATATGGAACTAAAATGCCTGGGAAGAGTATGCTCTATTTCAAATGGGTTGTTTTTGCAGGTAGAAAAGATTGGCTGGGCATCATGGACAAGCGTTTTGGGCTCTTGCTGTGAAGGAATCTGGCCAATAATTGGTGAAGTCACAGATGTAACTGCTTCATGCCTCACTAGTGATAGTAAAGTTTTAGCTACAGGAGATGATTTTGGGTTCGTGAAACTGTTCCGATACCCTGCTAAAGTAAGTAATTTTCAGCTGTTTATGGTGAACATTAATTAATAAATCTGCCTTATCAAAACAGTGAAAAGTTATCACTCAGAACAAAATAGTGCTTTTATATTCTTCTCCCTATGATCAACGAAGGCATTTGGTATTACACTGCAGTTTGCAGTGCATTAATCTTGCAGGTAGTAAGAATAATCATTCCAGGTGAGACTATAGAGCCATCTTGTGCAGTGTCTTGCTGCTGACAGTGGGAAATGCACAGGAAAACTGTATTAATGGGAATGCTTTGGAAAACAGTGAACATTTCTTGCTCAGTTATGGTTCACTCATGAATTTAAGGACCTTCATTCCGTTCAACCTCAGTAATTTTTTTCTAAGATGAAGAGCTTTAATATTATTTAATAATGCACCATAGAAAAGCCATTACAGAAGCACATTATATTTTTACTACTCTTCCAGAACCTTTCTAGTTTTCCTGTTTATTTGTTAGTAAATATATCTTCAATTCTGAGATGTTGCCATGATGTGGATGGTAACAATGCACAAATACTGACTCGAAATAGTCTATGTGAATTTTATTCTAAATCTGTTAGATTATTGTCTCTCTTAGGAAAAGTGATCCAGTGTTAATTACTTGAATCTGTTTGAGAACTAATTCTTGCATGCTTGATATGGAGATTGCTATAGGAGAGAGCATGAAGTTGCTATAGGAGAGGGACTTGGCAAATCACGTCACACAGTCATATGAAATGTAAAACATCTGAAGCATGAACTGTAAAGAAGCTAAGACATGTCATTGTGCACTGGCAACTCATTTCAGTTTTGCCTAGCAGACTGGTTAAATTTGATTCTTACCTTTCTTTTTCCCCTCTAAGGGAAAGTTTGGAAAATTTAAGAGGTATGTTGCTCACAGTACCCATGTAACAAATGTCCGCTGGACCTATGACGACAGTTTGTTGGTCACTGTTGGAGGAGCAGACACCTCTTTAATGCTGTGGACTTATGAGATGGAAGGACATCGGGATAGCAGGCAGTGTGACAGTGAAGAGTCTGACCTAGATTCTGAAGAAGATGGAGGTGAGTAATAATTTTTAGAACTAGCTGGATTATGCTATTTCAAGAAGACTTTATTTTATTAATGGAAAACTGCTAATTTAGAAATAAATCTTGTTTTATAGATTGCTTTGATTGTAAGTAGTGAAGAGTCTTCAAACATGTTAAATAAAATTTCTTTTGGGGGAAAGGACTGATAAACTGCTGACAAGAAAATGATCATGAAATGTTTGACTTACTGCTGCTTTGAGCCAGAGTATATAAACAGACTCTTTAAAAGAAAAAAATGTGTGTTCAATGTCTATAAAAATAGAATCACCACAGTTTAGATTTAGGCAACAATTCTAAAGGAAATATATTGAAATCTGTGTAACGTGAGATCATTGTAATCTTGATGTTATAGCATCTTTTTCCATAACATGGAAGCATAGTAAACTGAGGTAGACTGATGTTGATAAATGGAACAATCTATTGCAAGATCATAAAATCAATAGTTATAAAGTGTTAATTACATTTTGTATTATCAACTTCTGCTGGTTTTGCCATACTTAGTGTTTTTCTTCTCATGTTATGAAGTAACATGTTTTGTTACTTCCAAGGGTTCATTAGCCTCCAGACTTGTTTTCTCTTCTCCCGAGTGCAGTTTTTCCTCCATGGCAATTCCTCAGTCTTCAAGCATTTTTAAACTATCACTGCTACTCTTTAAATAGTTCTGTGTAATAAATTATCTCCAGTTTTCACTAAAATCTGCTAAATGACCAAAGAAACACTTTAAATATCAGAGACATAGTAAACATTCATTGGAGAAGAGTTTTTATTCACTGTCTTTCTTCTTAAAATTATTGAAGAATACGTCCACAAAGTAATTTAATTGCCTACAGGAGGACTTGTCAGCTTTAACTTTCTAAGTCAAAAATTGCAATTTTCAGAGTTTTTGTTCAGCTTCTGTCTGTGCCCTGTTAGCACATCTTAGCCCTATAACCTTCCCTAGGCTCTGGTGCTTTACACAGAACCCTCTTAAGATATGTGTTTAAAAGTGCTCTAGAAGATAGAGAGGTCTGTGAAGCTTTACAGGAAAAGACACTTTGATATCTTTATCCACAAAAGTTTCTCTTGGTCATGTCCTATTAATTTCAGTTAGAGTTGAGAACTATTCACAGTGTTGGCATTAGAAGTCTTATCTTAAAAAAATAAATAATAGTGGGTGAGTAACAACCCTGTCACTATTTAGCTTTTTTACCATGTTTACCATAGTGAACATCACCTTGATATGCCTGACTGCCCCTAAGCAGTAGGAACCCTGTGCAGACCTATAGATTCCATCATGATGAATGGATCCTGGAACTGAGAACAACCAGGTGCCAAATCTCACAGAACTTAAGAGCAGGTGTCAAGTAGTGAGTCCTTTGTTAATGATCCTACTTAAGGCCAACCAAGCAGAAATGGGAGATAGCTTTGAACTCTTTAATTATTTTTTCAACAAAGATATTGTAGGGAATTTTTTTCTCAGAATGCCTTTTATTAACAATGTTCATGATTCCCAGCTATTTTCTTTCTGTTGTGTATTTATGTTACTAATAATAGATGCTATAATTGTTTCTGTAATCCAGTACATTGTTGAAATCTGCACAAATTGTGATTTAATTTTTTTTCTAGTACCTTAGTTTGGTTTGATACTGTTCACTCTGATTTTGTTAGGTTATGACAGTGATGTAACAAGGGAAAATGAAATTAATTACACCATCAAAGCCTTATCAACAAACATTAGACCAATGTTTGGAATTAAGCCTCATCTGCAACAAAAGGAGCCAACCTTAGATGAAAGGTAATTACTAAATTATAAGCCTCATCTGCAACAAAAGGAGCCAACCTTAGAGGAAAGGTAATTACTAAATTACAATTCTAGCCAAGAAATCAATCTGAAAAGATGATTAGTAGTAAAACAAATTATATTGAAATATATCATTCTTAACTTAAAAGGACACATATAAAAAGAGTCTGAACATTTCTTTGGAGGAAAGAAAAAGAAAATTCTTACCTAAAGACTAGGTTGTACATATATTTTTCAGAGAACACAAAAGACTACAAATGGTGTACATATATTTTTATGTTTGGGTTGTTTCTTGAGGTAATTGATTTATTTGCTGTTGTTTAAGAATATGTTCTTTTTGAAACTTAAATACTAAGTGGTATCTAGTGGTGGCACTATAGGCATGAGCCTGTACAATTTTTTTAAAGAAACACAGGTCTCTGTTTTTTGGTTCGGCCAACAAACTACTCTGACAAATTCAGCTCTAATTGCTCCTTGCAATGCCTCTGTCTCCACATAACTTGTACCATTCTTTGAATAATTTTGTCTGCAGTGGTTCTGCATTTTCTGTTAATGAGTCTTGGAAAGTGAAGTTGCTTGCTTTGCAGTGTCAGTTGTATTGCTTGGTTCACTATTGTTTGCTCTAGAAGTGAATGGGTGGGGAGCAGAGTAGAATAAACCAGAAAGTAAAGTAGATGTGAAATAAAAAACAATTTATAACCACTAGAATGTTGTAGAATCTGCAACCGAGCACAGGACTCTGAAAGCTGTTGTTTGTTGTAAGCAAAATAGATGTGGACAGTATATGTGAGGGAAAAGGAAAGAGGAATTCCTAACGTGGCAATTGAGGAATGCTAATATTAAAGAGAGGGGAGTGAGGAAAACAACACAATATAATTAGGTGTAAGGATATAGAGAAATAGCAGATTGGAAACCTCCTGCAGGAATGTGAGGAGTTCTGTTATGATGCTCATGCCCCTTTCCACAGTGAAGCTGGACAGATCTGTGATACCCTTGTTGAAAAATGCAATTTGGCATTGTGGGAGTTTTAGGTCATCTTTTGCTTTTAAGTTGTGTTGCTGAAGAAGGGAGTGGGATGCCTGTGTATAATGCCATGGTTCCCTGTCTTGCATTTATAATGAGAAATGGTCTTTCTCTTTTTTAATTAGATTATTTGATGTGGAAATCAAAAAGAAATAATGTGCATGGTATGAAAGTTATGATTAAAGATTTTTTTTTTTACATGAAATTGTAAACCTCTTGTGTTTCTTTCAAGAATTGTTTCTGGAAGCTGAGTGAATTGTGGTTTTCAGTTTCAAATAAAATATTAAAAGAGAATTAATTCTGTAGTAAGGTAATTAACTTCTGATTCAGAATGCATAAAAGTTAATGAAAGAATTCCATTGACTGCATTATTAAAAGTCTGGGGCCCTAAAACTTCAGAGAAAATTTTTTTGTAAAGAGTAAAACCAGGTTATGGTTACCATATATATTTTAATTTCTGTTCTGCTAAAGTTAATATTGTGTAGTATTGGTAAATATTTTAATCTACTGTCATAGATACTGATTTTTATTTTATTTTTATTACTCTTTCCTTTTGCTTCCTATGAAGGCAGGGGGTAGTAAGGTAAGTTTATTTACACAAAGTCCAGGATTAAATGCAATTTAATAACAAACTGCTTAGAAAAATAATTACACTTTGAAATAGAAGTGAAGGATTTACCTCTTTACTATTAAATAGTAACTTGTTAATGGGTAGAAAAGGGATAAGGATCAAAAAAATCCGTCCAGTTCTCAGTCTGAGTTGACATGAGTGAACACTAAATGGAGTATTTGGGACAAAGTGTTCAAATTTCATCCTACTTTCCTCAGTACTTTGGAGTGACAAAGGAACAGCTTGACTTCAGTAGCTAGAGCCAGAGCTTGCTTGTGGACTTCTGTAAGACTTTATTACGGTGTTGTAGAGGTCTAACATGGAATAAAGAGTGCAGTGAGCATATTGCAGAGATGCCTGAAGTGACTATCTGAGCAGTATCACCATGTCTGCAGCGTTGTGTTGGAGTTAATAAAGCTTCAGGGATGAGAGGAGAATTGTTGCCTTGGCTGCAGCATTTTACCAATGCACTATACTACTTGAGGATCGGAGCTGCTGGGTCCCCATAGCATCATGTGGGAGTCTCTAGCTTAGGTGCCTGCATTAGGTTATGAACTTCTGCACATACTCTATTTAGAATAGATGCATACTCAAAAACATGCTCTTACATTTGTAGCACAACAAATCCTTAGGCTGTAGGCCACTCTTCAGAATTGTAGACTGAGCTGCCAGGACACTTGGACATACACTGGTTAAGAAAGGAGAAGCCCTCTCATACCTACCTGGACTCTGTTTCAATGAAGTCACATACCTGTGGTGCCAGACGATACAATTGTGTAAATCTCTGTGTATCCTTCTTAAAGACAATTTGACATAATCCAGACAGCTGCTGTCTTCATCTAAATTTTAGAACGTACCACTAGCAACCTCTATCAAATTAATTCTGGGTTTAGGCTTTTGAAAAAAAAAGTGCATCTGTAAAGTCTTTGTTTCTGTATAAGTTTTGCAGAGCATGTATAACTTATACAGAGTTTTGGATTGACCCTTACTGAATGCAAGGTGCCCACCAAAGCTTCTCTGTCACTTGCCTCCTCAGTTGAACTGGTGAGAGAAAATATAATGAAAGGCTCGTGGGTGGAAAAAAGGACAAGGATAGATTACTCACTGATTACTGTTACAGGCAAAACAGACTCAACTCAACTTGGGGAAATTATTTATTACCAGTTTAATCATTAAAAATCCTAAATCTTAAAACACCTTACCCCCACCCCTCCCATCTTCCAGGGCTTAACTTTACTCCTGAGTTCTCTGACTCCTCCTCCCACAGCAGCACAGAGGGACAGGGAATGGGGGTTGCAGTCAGTTCACCCATTGTCACTGCCACTCCTTCCTCCTCAGGTGAAGGACTCCTCACTCTCTTCCCCTGCTCCAGTGTGAGGTCCCTTCTATGGGAGATAGTCTCCATGAACTTCTGAGTCCTTCTCATGGGCTGTGGTGGATCCAGCATGAGTCCCTTGCATGGGCTGCAGTTCTTCAGGAACTGACTACTGTTGTGTGACCCCCACAGGGTCACAAGTCCTGCCAGCAAACCACCTCCAGTGTGTGGGCTCCTCTCTCCATCCTGACACAGGTCCTGCCAGGAGCCTGCTCCAGTTCAGGCTTCCCATGGGGTCATAACCTCCTTTGGGCACCCTCCCCTCTCCAGTGTGTTGTCCTTCACGGCTGTCCTTCCACTGTGGATCTCCATGGACTGCAGGGGGACAGCCGCTTCACCGTGGTCTTCACCATGGGCTGCAGGGGCCTGGAGCACCTGCTCCCTCTCCTTCTTCACTGACCCTGGTGTTTGCAGAGTTGTTTCTCTTGCATATTCCCTCTACTCTTCTCTAGTTGCTGTTGTGCAGCAGTTTTTATCCCCTTCTCAAATGCATTGTCCCAGGCACTGGCTCTACTTCTAGCAGCTTCTCATAATGTCACTCCTGTAGCCCCTCCTGCTATCCAAACCCTGCTGTGCAAACACAGTACAACTGTTCAGAGTGTACATCGTACATCCATGGCGTTCCATGTTATGCATGAGGTTGTCATGTTGACTGTCAAACATCAGAAAAGGTATGACTCTTGTAGTAACACTTTATTGGAATCCTTGTATTCTCAGGATCACAGGTGCACACTAGTGTACAATGTACTTCTGAGAATGTCTTTCCACTAATTTAGAAAGGATGTGTATTAATGATTAAAAATGTGTATCATTAGTGTATGAAGGAGACTTCTATTCAGAAACTACCTGAATCTCTTTTACTAGAGTATTGTAGATTGTTGTACCTGACAGCTGAAATGTAATTCATAAGCTCTAGCTTAATAGTGAAGTTTCCTCTATGTAAAAGGAACATGACTTTTAGTATCCAGAGTGTTAAATGAGATAAAGAACAGAACACTAAAAGAGGAAGTAGCTTATCTGAAATCTCATGTGCTTCCTAGTTCTGACTCACAAAAGCACATCTGTGAGGCCAGGAGCTGTAGTCTGACACCATGGCCTGCATTTAGAGTCAGGTATTGCTCAAAAGTGGATTCACTAAAATTATTTTGATACTAATATTTATTAGAAAGGTTGAGTTGATCTTAGTTTTTTTTAAGCAATAGGATGACATAAGAAATGACAGTTTCATGCCATTTAGTCTATCAAATTCAAATACATATCAACAGGTGTGTCAAAACAGTGTTTTTTTGCTAAAGCGCTGCAGAAACCAATGAAGGAATCCCTAAAGTCAGAAAGGGACAGCAAGCTAAAGAGGTTGCAAAATGCTGTAGTCTGGTGGGTAGGTAACTTCTCTGTGAAGGAACATGGGACTCTTTTGCATAATTATTTTCTTCTAGTGACCCTTAATTCAAAAATCTGAGTGCAGTTCCCAGAACATGAATCTGAACTAAGGGTTAGTTTTACTCTTCAACAAATAGTTTCTTGTTCTCAGCGTTTTGGTTTTGCTCATAAATTATTTTTTTCTTTGAAATAGCAGAAGTTAAAAAAAAATTTCTTTCCCCCTTCACAACAACACAGTTTTACAAAAAGCAGTGGACATTTCTGTGTCTTTATCATTTTTACGGCTAACACATTAACTGGAGATGTGAGTTGCATCAGCTTTTACTTCCAGGCCATACTGACTTTATTTTTCCATCAGGATAAACATGATTTTCCCAAGTTTTTCTGGGACTTTTTTTTCTTATTTAAGCAATTCAGTATTTAAAAGAAAATAAGAGAGACAGTTATTTTTTAAACCTGGAGAGGCTAGTGCTGTAAAAGTTGATATGCTGAATAGAAATATATTAAAGCTTTAAATTTCAGGCAACTTTTAAAAAAAACATGGATCTTGAACTCAAGGTTTCATTCAGATTCAATTGGTTTAAGGTTTGCTTGCAGTGCTGTCAA